TACTTCCTCTCTGGATTTAGTGGTCTATGCTGATTTTGATTGGACTGGTGATGTTACTGATCGCAAGTCCATGTCTGGTTTCTATATGTTTCTTGGCGATTCTTTGATCTCTTGGTAAAGCAAGAAACAAATTGTTGTTGCTCGCTCTACTGTCGAAGCTGAGTATCGTGCTATGGCTCATGCTACTACTGAAGTTGTCTGGCTTCGTTATCTTCTTTCTGACTTGGATGTCCCTCAGTCTTTCCCGACCTCCCTCTATTGTGACAACTGCAGTGCTAAACATTGTCTTTTATGAGTGGACCAAGCACATTGATATTGATTGTCACTTTGTTCGTCAGCATCTGCAGTTAGGGGTGTGCGCGGTGCGGGTCGGTGCGGTCTGAGAGAAAAATAGAAACCGTATGGTGGGTGGCGGATTGATAAAAGTGTCACTAGAATTTGTCATTTTCTTTATCAAAAACCGACGGTTCGGTTGGCAAATAATGGCGGATTTGCCTTGGCGGTTCGGGCGGATTGGCGGTTTATAAAAAATATAATTCAAATTACAAAACTTAAATCAAAGAGTAAAAAAAAGACGAGAGATATCGTAATGTTAAGCATCTTGTGAAGCTTTCTTCTGATGCAGCAAGTGTAGCAACAACATGATAATATCAACGACTATGCCATCAGTTCATTACAAGCATCTGTGGAAGCTACAATGATCAAATACAATACATAAAATTAATATCATTCAGGGTTTACAATATATTGAAAATGTTTACTGTTGAAAAGTATTTAGATTGAAAAGTGAGCTGATGCAAGTTTGCAACATGGTCAGAAAAAAAAAATTTGAAAAGTGCATTGGAATCCAACTTTATTTTGGATTACTGACATCTTGAATTCCCCTCGAGCAGTAATGTAATACTATATTCTAAGGTATAGAACAACAAGCAAACTTAAGTAAAAAAGAATTTTTAGAATCTTATAAAACATGATTTAATAGTGGTGCGGGTCGGTTCGGTTTAGAAGAAAAATAGAAACCGGCGGATTGATAAAAGTGTCACTAGAATTTGCCATTTTTCTTACCAAAAATCGGCGGTTCGATTGGCAAATAATAACGAATTTGCCTTGGCGGTGCAGTTCGGTGCGGTTTTGACGGTTCCAGCGGTTTCAGCGGTATTATGCACACCCCTATTTGCAGTCTAGCTCTATCTCGCTTCCTTTCGCCTCTTCGGCTCTGCAACTTGCTGACTTCTTTACCAAGACTCACACCACAGCTCAGTTTCAATTTCTTTTTGGCAAACTCTCAGTGTTTTCTACCCAAATACCTTGAGTTTGAGCAGGGGTGTGAGAATAATATTAATATATATATATATATATTATGTGAATATTGTTTCCTATTTAGAATTAATTTAGGTTTATTCTTGTTGTTTCCTATTCGGGATTGGTTTAGGTTTATTCTTATTGTTTCCTATTCAGGATTGGTTTAAGTTTATTCTTGTTTCCTATTTAGGATTAATGTTCTATATTTATTAGAATTGTATATTAGTGATGTATTCATTTAGGATTAAAATTTAATATTCTATATAAATGAGATATTCTTTATTCAATAAATATAATTGAATATATAGAAATTCTTCAAAATTCTTACAATGTATACAAGTGGTTGAGAATGGATTGACATGTCGTGTAACTTTTCTTTTCTTTTCTTTTTTTAATTTTCTTATAATATTACTATTGGGAAAGGTGGGGCTGCTGCTTCTAGTAACAATAATTGATCACAACCCCACCTCACAGCTTTAGGCCACGAAGATTGTTGCAAGTCAATTCTAATCCCCAAAACCCAAAAAGAAAAAGAAAAAAAAAAGAGAGAACAGAAAATAAAAGAAAATAAAAGAACTAATTATACAATTTTGAGGGAAATTAGCAAACTTCTTATGACTTTATTGGTCTAATAATTGGGCTATGCTTGAAAGGGAAAATGACATCCCAATAGGTGAGCAGTGAATTTTGTCAAGAACCAATAATAGGGAGTGTCTATTTTACAAAACTAAAAACACCATGTTCAAATGAACCAAACAAATCCAAACCTCTCTAATCTCATACCCTAACAACAACAGATCCTGATTCTCTCTATTACATGGATAGAATGAAATTTTCATTTTATGATCAATTAGTTAGTTATAAAACATCCATATCTTTATTTTAAATTAAAACAGAGGAGAAATTTTGAAACTCATATGAAATGAAGGAGATCAAGGTGTTGAAACTCCTTTTGGGGCTAGCAAAGAAAACCAAATGTTTTTTTTGATGATCCTTCATTTTCATGTTGAAGTTCAAGTTAAAACCAACTAAACGTATTCAACTTGAATTGGATGGTGTGGTGGGCTCACTATAATAGCATGCTCAATTTAAATTCAACAAGTCAATCGATTTCTACTTACATATTCTTATATGCAATGTCAGGTGACAAAAGTGAAAAATTAACAAATAAACAATAAAAAACAACCACAATATCAACAACTACTCCTCTGGTTTATGTAAAACTAAGATCCAATCAATTGATTGGGTAGTGATGGGTTGGTTGAACTTGAATTTTAATAGAGTTGTCATAGGTGCCACCAAGTTTTTGATGCCTAAGCTCCACAGGCTTTCATACGAGTCCTAAAAATTACTAAATCACAATCCATCTCTCTCCTTCCTCTGTTTTCCAGCTTGAACATATTATAATTGAAATTGATAGCATAACCACACATGAAAAAATATACATACATACATATATATATATATATATATATATTTTACACGGCATGCATATGATCCAAGTATCATGGACATTGTTTTCAAATATTTTGAAGTACCTCCACAATTCAAGTGGGGTTTGGACATATGCGTCTATTGAGCATTGACAAGAAAAGATGGTGTTGTCCAACATGCAACTTTTACCAGAAACAGCTCCACTCACTTCCTAAAGTAAAAGATGATGCAAATCAAAGTGAAGCGATAATGTTTTCGTGTTGAGTATCTTAATAAGAAAATTTGTTCATTTTTTGCTACATTCACTATATATAATTGTGAATTATACCTAGCTTAAACTTTCAATACACAAACATACATAGCAAGTGTAAATCAGCAACACCATCCTGGCAGACAGATGCATATACACACACATACCAAAGCAGTGGCCTATCCCTCAAGTGGTTTGAGTTCCAAAGAAATGGATGTGATAGATCTTCTATTTGAGTCAAATATTCAATCATTCATAGTATTATATGGTGTACGCATCAAAACATTATTTAAACACGGAAAACAGCAGAAATGCAGTACCAGAAAACAGTAGTGGAGGGGCCATTCCAGCTAAGTGCCACAAGAAAGATGATAAAGTAGCAGAAAAAAATAAATCATCAACAGATATAGTAATCCATTACAATTTACAATTATCATCTTTTCTAATCAAACTGTCTCTTTCTCACAAACATTGCATCACGTTTCTTTTGGTTATTATTATTATATAAGACAATTCTTTAGATTCAGATTCAATCACAAATCGAAATACAATAATTGTTTTGTTAACTGTACGTTTTGCGCAATGGTCAGTGGCCCAAGAACTTCCATTATGGCCACTACAACAGTGTGACTGACAGGTTAATCAAAAGTAGAACCATCACCAGAAAGGGCCCAAAACCCCCCAATCCTTTTCTGCTTTTTATGATTATCACTTATCAGTGGCCATCGCACTTGCTTTAGTGGATGATCAGTATCCACTAGGTGGGTTGTTGTATAAAGAGGATATTATTAGTTTGTTGATACAAGAACCAGTTAACACGGTTCTTGGTCACTCACTACTGCCAGATAAGATCGTAGTCACAATATCAATGATTGTCCTTTATTTTTCAACTCTAATTTTCTTTTTTCTTGCTCCAATCTTAACTTCTCTAATTACTAAACAGTTATCGAGAAATTGTTTTAACTCTTTCATTTTATTAAGTTAGAGGAGAAAGGTTACCTAAAAAGAAAGTATCATTCCACAATTTGGTTGTATTTTTTTTGTTTATCTATGATTAAGTAGTGGTGTGTCGATTGATTATCTCTTCCAAAAGTCCAACATCCAGAGGGGTCCGTCAGTATGGATTATGACCTCAGACGAATATTATAATGGTCCACAATCTATCCACTAATTAGTGGGTTATGAATAAATCATCCCTCCAAGTTATGTGGCCATTTTCTAATGATACACGTAAATTCATCTCCTAGAAAAGTATTGATGTGTTTGAGCCCTCAAACCACCTTACACGACACTTCTTCCTCATCTATAATGGTTTATTAAGGCCAGTAAGATCACTATGTTATGTAGGAACAAAATCGTCTAAATCAACAAGCTATCAATATCTATTTGATTCCCATTCTTTCATGATGATGAATGTATCAATTTCTTAATTGGACTCTATTTGAAAGCTCTCCAAAAACTCAACAAGATTCGTGTAGCATAAGATACCTCTAAAAACTTGGAGAAGAAAAATTAAGGAAAAATTGTTTAGCTTCTCTTCCATGGAACATGTGGAATTTATAAAACTGTAATTCTTCTTGTAGAGTCATCGGATCAAATTTATATCTGAGTTCATAGAATCCTCAAGTTGTACCAAAGTTCAGTGATGAAGTATGCAGTATATAAATTCCCTCGTAAATACGAGTGTTAAACATTAAAACAATCGAGGTCCATGATATATCCATCCTATATTGTTTCCACAGTTTGAAACTCATTTATGATCTACACATGATAAATACATTCATCCATGTATTGTTCATTAATTAGGTTTCAAGTAAATCATACTATGTCAAAAGCAAATGGAAAAAGAAGAATACTTGTCTTAGATAGCATTTGACAGATACAAATTTAGATTGTTTTGAAGAGTTCATAACTTTGTATTTCATAACGAAGTACACAACATATTATTATCACACGGTGATAACAAAAAAATTCTTTTCCTGTCAACATAATTTGATTAGAATAAAATACTAGAATCATTCATATAGTTTATTTTATTGGTATTTCCGTGCGTCCAATCCACTTATTAACGTTGGCAGACAAGATTTAGGAAAGCTTTAAAAGGTGTACTGTATTGCCCATGCTAGTGACCACACTCAATACTTATATCAACACTCGTGTGAAAACAAACTAGCTGAGAGCTGAGAGCTCAGATCTAAGAGCTAGGAGCCAAGAGAATCTCGCTCTCAGATAAAGTCTCCTGTGTGAAAATGAGAGGTTTTTCCTGAATTATACCCTTCGAACAAAAACAGTGCTAGACAAAAAAGAAACAACCTCATTTTTCTGGCCTCTCGAACTTGGGGTTTGCGGAGGCATTGTAAACATGAAATCTTTGAGGTTCAGGCTACTATTCATTCTGACACTTCTAATTACAATTACCTATCATGCGAGCGTGGTTGCAAGAGAGAAGAAGTACCAAGAAAAGAAGACTTACATCATTCACATGGAAGAATCCACCATGCCAGTGAGTTTCAGCGATCGCATCCAATGGTATGATTCATCTTTAAAATCGGTATCAGATTCAGCCAACATGCTTTATGCCTATACTGAGGTATTCCATGGCTTCTCCACGAGGCTAACTGCTGAGGAAGCCAAATCACTTGAAGGCCAACCAGGGGTTCTTTCTGTCCTAGAAGAAATGAAATACGAGCTTCATACTACTCACACGCCAGCGTTCCTTGGACTCGAAAAGGATGAAGCACTGTTCTTCCCCGATTCTAGTGCAGCAAGCGACGTAGTTGTTGGGGTTTTAGACACTGGTGTTTGGCCCGAGTTAAAAAGCTTCGATGACACCGGACTAAGCGAGGTGCCTAAAAGCTGGAAAGGCGAGTGCGAGGTGGGAAAGAACTTCAGCTCATCAAGTTGTAACAGAAAACTAATTGGTGCAAGGTCCTTTTCAAATGGGTATGAATCAGTTTATGGGCCAATTGATGAGAACATAGAATCCAAGTCACCAAGGGATGATGATGGCCATGGAACGCACACATCAACTACGACAACTGGGTCAGCTGTAGCTGAAGCTAGCCTATTTGGCTATGCTCCAGGGACAGCACGGGGGATGGCCACACATGCCAGGGTGGCCATATACAAAGTATGCTGGAATGGTGGCTGTTTTGGCTCTGACCTACTAGCCGGAATGGACAAGGCTGTTCAAGATGGTGTTGATGTACTATCGTTGTCAATTGGCGGCTCAATTTCTGATTATGATAGAGATAGCATAGCCATCGGAGCATATGGGGCGATGTCAAAAGGGGTCTTCATATCATGCTCAGCCGGAAATGGCGGCCCTGGTTCCAGTACCCTGTCCAACGTTGCACCATGGATAACCACTGTAGGTGCTGGAACTCTAGACCGTGACTTCCCTGCATATGTCAGCCTTGGCAATGGAAAGAATTTCTCTGGCGTTTCACTTTATAGTGGAAAGCCGTTATCTGATTCCTTGATGCCACTTGTGTATGGTGGTAACGTTAGCAGCTCCTCCAATGGAAATCTATGCCTGTCTGGCAGTTTGATTCCCGGGAAAGTTGCTGGGAAAATTGTGGTCTGTGATCGAGGGATGAATTCTAGGGTGCAAAAGGGACTGGTGGTAAAAGCCGCTGGTGGTGTAGGGATGATCTTAACAAACACTGATTCCAGTGGGGAAGAACTGGTGGCTGACGCACATCTTGTACCCACTGCAGCTGTTGGTCTTACAACTGCTAATGCAATAAAGAAATATATGTTTTCAGATTCCAATCCAACAGCCACAATTGCATTTCAAGGCACCAAGTTGGATGTCCAACCATCACCGGTCGTGGCAGCGTTCAGTTCTAGAGGTCCAAACCAGATAACACCAGACATACTCAAACCGGATTTGATAGCACCAGGTGTTAATATCCTAGCTGGTTGGACTGGTGCAGCTGGACCTACGGGATTGCAGGAAGACACTCGACGGGTGAGCTTCAACATCATTTCCGGTACATCCATGTCATGCCCGCACATAAGCGGCCTAGCAGCCCTACTCAAGGGAGCCCACCCAGAATGGAGCCCGGCAGCTATCAAGTCTGCACTGATGACCACATCCTACACCACCTACAAGAACGGCAAAACCATACAAGATGTTGCAACTGGGAAACCAGCGACACCATTTGATTATGGCGCCGGACATGTGAATCCAGTATCAGCCCTTGACCCAGGCCTTGTATACGATGCCACAGTTGATGATTACCTAGGTTTTCTCTGTGCCCTAAACTACACTTCAACTCGAATTAAGACAGTCACAAATCAAAGTTATACCTGCGAGTTGGGGAAGAAATACAGCGTGGGAGATCTTAACTACCCCTCTTTTGCTGTTCCTCTGCAGACATCCTCAGGTCAAGGTGGTGGTAGCAGTGCAGTGACTGTGGTTAAGTATACAAGAACCTTGACTAATGTCGGCACTCCGGCAACATACAAGGTTTCAGTGTCTTCAGAGACACAGGCAGTGAAGATAGTGGTTGACCCGGAATCACTGACTTTCAGCAAACCTAATGAGATGAAGACATATACGGTTACCTTCACTGCTAGTTCAATGCCATCAGGAACTACAAGCTTTGCTCGTCTGGTATGGTCGGATGAACAGCACAATGTTGGAAGTCCAATAGCTTTTGGCTGGACATAATCATAATAACATTTAAGTGGTATAGCTCAGAATCATGAGTGGTAAAGTACCTCAAGTTGTAAATAAATCCTCTGTTTAAGAATAAATGAATAACTAGTTTGTGTTTTACATTTTAACATTCTTGGTCGTCTTCTACCAACTGTTCAAGCAGATATGACTACACTGTCAACAACTCTAAGATGAACAATTAGTAAACAGAATAGAAATATAGGGGAAAGGGGTGGATATATTATTCAGTTAACCACGTATGTATTGGAATGTAAAATAGACAACTTGGTTTTCCTGGTTCTAATGCTACGTTCTATTGCCCAACCCCCTTATGTGGACCACATAATTAATTTAAAGAAATAATGTGGGGGAAAGTTCTATCATACCATTTTAAGTGATGGTGAATGTACACATGGAGGACTATTATCATAAATAGTGGACCACCAGAAGCTGGTATTTCACTGTACAAGTTGCTTCACAACTAGATTTGTGCAGAACCACCATTCAAAAATGGGTTTCACATGAAGAGGAAAGCCATATATTCAAATTGTCCTTAATAATTCAAAAAAGCAGCAGAAGTCTGTAACAGGTTTGTGAGCTTCCCTTGATATGCCAGCAATGAATTTTTACGCTCTGCTTTTTTGGGTGATGTGCCCCGGCCGGTAATTAGTATGCCCTCCAAAACGAGACTTCAATTCAGATTAAACCTTAAAACAGTTTTGAAGATTGTGTTCTAGTTAATGGTTTAAAGTATCATATAGTCAATGATTCTGAACATTAGGTCTTTTTTTTAAACAAAAAAAAAAAAAAACAGAGAACATCAGAATGCTATTTGAATAGGCTGAAAGAAGACTTCTCTGTAGTTAGGTTAAATTATGTATTGTTATGAAAGAAAGTCATCTGAAGCAATCAATGATAATTTCATTAAAGTGGCCATACAAGTTTATAACTTATTATTCTTCCATGGAATTGCATCCAAATAAACCAAAGCACACACTTTGTTAAATCTTATTCCACTGCTTAGAAGCTAGAAAACTTCAGAGCATGTATATAGAATGCACAAGAATTGATACACAAACAAACAGTAAATGCTAAACTCATTCTTGGGTCTTGATCTAATAAAATGAATATAATAAAACCAAGTTTCAGTTACCTCCAGAGCATGCACTCACAAGGTCATACACTACAAAACAGCCATAAGAGAGCACAAGATCTCTCAAGGATCATTTCCCATAAATTTTCTAACCATCTAAACTTGAACTATGATTAGTAAAACGTACTGGCTTGTCCACTGATTAAACATGTTGAAGATCAAGAAAAACTAGTGTGGACCCAAGCATCATTCAGAATCCTGTATAGACTGACAAACAGGGAGGTAATATGTGTCCAATTGCCAATATTTATGTTTCACGCCCTTCCAAACTTCTTCTCCCAAACAATCCTTTACGGGCAAGGGTATTAACTGTGTGGAATAACCCAAGCTCTCAAGTTCTAGAGAAACCAACTGACAGTAAACAACATGAAAAAAGGCATTACCTCCACAAAGGCCATTAAAAAATGAGTAGATCCCACCAGGTTTCAACAATGAAGGAAGATGTTGGTGGAACTCTCTCATATCTTCATAATACTCCCCATAAGTGTCGAAGAATACACCTGGAAAAAATAGAATCAACGATTACAAGGGGACAGTTATGCATACTATATGCCATATAAGATACTCAAATTAATTAGCTATTATTTTCTATTAAAAAAATAAAAAGGAAAAAGAAAAGCTTAATCTCAAACTAGCAAATTATATATCGACATAAACAAGATGCTATCTAGCCAACCAAAATAGTCATTAATAAGCTTTCCTAGGTCAGTCAAGTTGAGTTGAGTGATTGAACAGCATGTCATTCTTTCAACAACAAACCCAAACACGGGCAACCACTATTACTGATCAAAGCTTCTACAAGTATTTGCACATGTAAGCAGGGGAGATTGTAGACAATACAACATGCACTTAATCCATCAATGATAGAAATCAGCTACAGCTGCACATTTCCTTGGTCATTTCACATCCTTCTTTATAGTGGTCTTAGATACATCAAAAATATTAAGTAAAAGTAGAAACTAATAACTAATTTAATGAGGTTTGCATGTCTATGGGTTGGTATATTAAATGGGATGGAAAGGGAAGTGCGTAGTAACCACTAATGAGAAAAGAAAGTAGATTCCAGAAGTTCATAATAAAGTACCACCAAAGTCCAATTCTGCTGCAAAGGAAATTCAGTATACTCCTAGCCACTTCTTGTGCACTATATGCAAGAGTGGTAGAAGTTTCCTACTTGATTCAATTTCTTCAATACCAGATGTAGTCCCATCTATATTCAGTGATTGTGCAAAAAGAAATTTTCCATTTTTGGTTTAAAAGAAATAGTTCAAGCCTCAACTAAACTATCACTTTACGACCTTAGTGGATGAGAGAACCCACACAAGTGCTAACAACAATCTGAGCTAGGAGTACTTATTGAAAATAAAAATAACAAGAAACTGAGCTAGGAGCCATTTTTCCAGTAAACATGTTTGGACAAAAATTAACTACTAGAAAGTAATTATCACTTTACTAAAAAGGCAACATGAAAAAATATCTTCTCAAGTCACCACAAGTGCAACAAATCTCAAAGATTATATTAATATAATCACCACTCCCTTGTAAACTGAGTTTAAAAAAGTGAGTATTCATAATCTATTCATTTGTTCATATGCATATAAGTTAACAGCAACTGAATCTTGTCTTACCATCATAAGATTCGAGTTGCGGAAGGACATCCTGCCAACGACCAAATATTATCTCCACATTCTCCTTCTCACCCCACCCAGAACGAAGCATGCGGCCATAAACCTCTGGGTGAGCCTCAACAATAGTGTGTTTAATAGGTGCATATTGTTGTATGGCATTATCCACGAGGCCCATTCCAAATCCAATGTTCAGTATGTGCTTGCCTCCTGAGCAAACAGCTTTTGCATGCGCCTCCATTAGTGGTTTCTCCCAAGCCATCATGATAGCCTTGCTATTGGAGTCCATTAGCTTATCCTCACTAAAAGTAATTCTATCTTCCAAGTAGTCACCATTAGTATCATCACTTGGGTTTGATCTTCTAGCAATTGTTCCAAGGATCAACTCAGCCTGTATCCCTGTCACGTTACACTTACTTGAAAAATGAGAAAATGGAAGGTAAAGTATAGACGCTAAACTTGCAACATGGATAACACTTGTGAGAATGCAGGGTTATTGTCAAATCAATTTTAACGTATATAGAAATGTGTTATTCAGGAGAAGAGACATGAAGTCATTAGAAGTGAAAACAAGTACCCTTACAATGCATCTAAAATGACCAAAAAAAAGGGGAGGTGGTTTGTTGGGACTTGGAAGAGAGTAAGCCAAAAATTTCAACCTAATTGTTTAAATTTGTTCTCTAGTGCCTTGCATATGGAATCAAAGATGATTTTAATAAGAGCTACTTCTATTTTAATTATTCTTATGAATAAGCTGAATGTTCCAGCCCTCAAATATAATTCAAATCACCAGAATACAAATAAAAATGGTTCGTACCTAGCATTTTTATTAAATATTCAACTATTTCTGATTCTATTTTGGACCTTTTTTATATGGACAACAAAGTTCTATTCTTCTTTGCTATTTTTAACGGCGTTGTGCAAAAGTTTGTGCAGAAATGGGATCCTAGGCTTGAATTTCGAAATGCAAACAAGAATCGCATTGGAGTCCGATAAATGAGTGGAAATTTACTTCTGACTGACTTCCTGTGAATCAACATGTAAGTATAAACTTAAAGGAAACACATCCTAATAGATCAACAATGTATATATATTTAAAGGAAACACATCATAATAGATCAACAATGTATATATATCAAATACCGTTAGGCAGGCAGGCAACCAAGGCAAGACCTGTTTATAATCACGAGCCCGCATTCATTAGAAACCAAACAGGAAGCAAATGAGACTAAGCTGTGATTCTGGTTCAACCAAGGGCAATACTGATGACTAAGGGTCCGTTTGGGATGATAGTATTTATTTAGCTAAAAATACACTTCCCAAACGAATCCTAAATATTGTGATGCGATGGCAACCAACAACAATGTCAATCTCATGGTTTCGTTGTGTGTCATTCTCTAGTTTACAAAAGTAAAAAATCTACTTACTAAAGATTTCTACAAACTGTTGGATTTATTTTCTAGTGTGGCCCAATAGCCTATATATTTTTACATGTTTTATTTTATTTGGACTCCACAATTAGATAAAGCCAATATTATATATAAAGTTCAGTAATTAGAATTTTAATATAATCACTCTTCTAAGATAAGAAGGAAACCTTGATGGATTAGGAATTCTTCTGATAGAGTTTATCTGGCCCTCTTCTCCCCTCTATATAAGGATGGGTGACTCCCCTTCTTTTGATATTATTCCATCACTCTAAGTTTTATAGTCATCCTAATGAAGTGAGAGACAGAGAGAAGAAGGTGAGCCAAGAATTAATGGTTTAACTATTAGGGGTATTTTCTCAACTTCTCTAATTCAATCGCTGACAAAGGTATGTTCGTTTTATTTTTGAGCTGTATTAAATTCAAGATCCTGTTAAGTTTAATTCCGCATTATTATTATGGTTACATGTATTATTAAATCTTACATGTGGTATCAGAGCTTTAGTTTGTGAATCAATACACCTTGGAATAATAATATATTTATGAATATTGTTATTATATTATAATTATAATTATTCATAAAATCATACTTTTGTTTATAAGGTTTGAACTCTGTTGGCATGTGATGTGCACTCCACTAAGTATGCACATCATGGACTCCCTCACTCATAAGACAACATGATCTGTTAGGTCCTAACCTAAATAAGAGCACAGTCCACTCACTTTGTTTTGTGATTTGCTAGGTGCAGGCTTTTATGTAATCCTATATGCTGTTCATATGCATGTTTTGATTTATTATCAATTTTAGTGATAATAATTTTTATAATCATCATAATATGATATTGAATTGAGTGTATTGCTTGCCGTCATGATAAAGTGCATAGATTAAATGCAATCTTAGAATTTTGTTGAATCATTCGGTCTATTAAATAAATATATTTATTTGATTGTATCACATTAGAGGATTATGTTTTTGCCTTGTCTAATTATGCACACTTATTGTCTATTATTGTTAATATTTATATATTTTCATGATTTAAATTTGATATCATGATATAATTTTATGACATTGAATATTAAAATATTGAAGTGGTTAATTTATTTAGGCGTAATTCTTGTTAACTATTATATAAGATATTCATGATTGTCATATTTTATATATATATATATATTCATGTTCGTCCAGAGTTATTATTATTATTATATTGGTAATTGCAATCACATAAAAGAAATTTTAGAAATCATAGAATAGTGATTTCATTAAAATTGTGATTGAATTAATGATAATTAAATAACTCAAAATTAATGAATAGGGAATATTGTTGGTTAATTTCGTATTCATAGGGTTTACTAATTTAGTAGCTGCCAAAGTGGCCTAGATTTGTAAAACTTATGAATATAGAACTACATAAAAGAATTGTTAAAAGGGTAACATTAAGGTTAGTAATATTCTCAATTGCAGTTATAATTAGGATATTGAAACTAGCCCAAAGGAGAGTCACTTTCAAATAATTATAAACTGGGTAGGATAATATAACTTATGTAATTTGACAGATTAGAATTGAATACCCAAAGTAACATGACTAGCTGAAAAATTGCATAAATTACTTTAGACCTACATAAGTGATTCTTGACGAGTGGACAATAGATATACCTAAGTTTTTCCCAAATGAAAGACTTATGTGATATCAATAGTTCATCGTAATTCTCAAAACTTTAATATGTATATTGTTTATGCCTTTTCCCATGTTACCTATGAGATCTTGTGTTAATACCTCTTAAGATCTGTCAAAAAGATAGCTTGCTATCTAAGGTGGTTGGACTTAGAAGGGAGGCTATATTGACTCCTCCGACCTTCCTGGGATCTTACTTGGTTATTGACCAAAGGACTCTTTAGTGACTTTACCCTAATGCTTAAAGTAAAATTTGGTTAAAGGCTGTTGAAGATCGACAAGCCACTTGCTGGCACTATTATGGCTGAATTAACAATAATGAAATATAATGGCCACCGAGGAGTTTAGGATCACATCCTCAATATGGCGACAAAGTTGCAAAACTTAAAACTTTAGGGATGCAGGTTGATGAAACCTTCCTCGTGCAGTTTATTCTTAACTCACTTCCATCACAGTTCGGTGCATTCAAAATTCACTATAATACCAATAAAGATAAGTGGAGTTTGAATGAACTGACTAATATGTGTGTTCAGGAGGAAGTGAGGTTAAGGGAGGAAGGACGTCAAACTGCATTGGCTGTAACTCATGGAGCTGTAAAGAAAAAGATGGGTAAGTTTGTAAAATCTAAGAAAAATCCACTAAAGAAAAAGAATGAACCTGAGGAAGAAAATCAGGCTCAGAATGGTTTCACTGTCAAGTGCTACTTTTGTGGCAAGAAGGGACATGTGAAGAAAGATTGCAGCAAGCGAAAGGCTTGGTTCGAAAAGAAATGTAAGAAATTTTCTTTTTTTGTTATGAATCAAATCTTGCTGAAGTATCTTCTAATACTTGGTGGATTGACTCTGGGGCCACGATCCACATTACAAATGACATGCAAGGATATCTCTTAACCAGGAAACCGAAGGAAAGTGAAAGATTTGTCTATATGGGGAACCGTCTCAAAGCTGAAGTCGTAGCTGTAGGAACCTATCAATTAATCTTAGAGACGGGTCATCAGATGGATCTAGAAGACACTTTTTATGTTCCTTCAATTTCAAGGAATTTAGTTTCATTATCCAAATTAGATCGTGTTGGATATTCAGTTTTATTTAATTGTGGAAAACTCAATTTAATGTTTAATTCAAAAGTGATTGGTTCCGGTAATTTATGTGATGGTTTATATAAAATTACCTTAAATCATGAGTATGCACAATCATTAGTAACTCTGCATTCAAATATTGGTTTAAGACGTGGTCTAATTAATGAAAAATCCTCAATCTTGTGGCATAGACGGTTGGGGCATATCTCTAGAAATAGAATTGAAAAATTAGTGAAGAATGGGATTTTGGAAAACCTAGACTTCACTGATTTTCAAATATGTGTGGATTGCATTAAAGGAAAGCAAACCAAACACACCAAGAAAGGTGCCACAAGAAGTAATGAGCTTCTTGAGATAATTCATACAGATATTTGAGGGCCACTCAACATCCCATGTCTTAGTGGTGAAAAATATTTTATCACATTTATAGATGACTTCTCACGTTATGGATATGTGTATCTAATTCATGAAAAGTCTCAGGCTGTTGACATCCTTGAGGTGTACATAACTGAAGTCGAGAGACAATTAGATAGAAAGGTTAAAATAGTGAGATCAGACAGGGGTGGTGAATATTATGGTAAATATGATGAGTCAGGCCAAAATCCTGGCCCATTTGCCAAATTCTTAGAAAAGAAAGGCATTTGTGCTCAATATACAATGCCTGGTACGCCACAGCAGAATGGAGTTGCTGAAAGGCGTAATCGTACACTTAAAGATATGGTTAGGAGTATGTTAAGTTACTCAATTGTACCTATTTCAATGTGGGGTAAAGCTTTAAAAACTGCAGTGTATATCTTAAATAGGGTTCCTAGTAAGGCGGTCCCAACAACTCCTTTTGAGTTGTGGACTGGTAGGAAACCTAGTTTGAGACACTTACATATTTGGGGCTGTCCAGCAGAGGCAAGAATCTTCAACCCACAAGAGAAAAATACAGGAATCTGATTTTGATATTGGGATTAACAAAGATCCAGTCTCATTTTCACAAGCCACGAATAGTGATGATCCTTCTAAATGGGTCAATGCTATAAATGAAGGGTTAAAATCCATGGAACAGAATAGTGTTTGGGATCTCGTCGAATTGCCTAATAATTGCAAAAATGTCTGGTGTAAATGGGTCTTCAAGACCAAGCGTGACGCAAAAGGCAATATTGAACGATTTAAAGCCAGACTTGTTGCCAAAGGTTTTACTCAAAAAGAAGGCATAGACTATACAGAAACCTTCTCTTCAGTATCTAAGAAGGACTTGCTTAGAATCATCCTAGCATTGGTAGCTCATTATGACTTAGAGTTGCATCAAATGGATGCGAAAACTGTTTTTCTAAATGGGAATTTGGATGAAAAAATTTATATAGAGCAGCCAGAAGGATTTGCAAAGAAAGGTAAAAAAAAACATTTAGCTTGCAAATTAAAGAAATCCATATACAGCCTTAAACAAACTTCCAAGCAATGGTATTTAAGGTTTAATGATACCATTATCTCTTTCGGATTTAAGGAAAATGCAGTTGATCAGTGTATATATCTGAAGGTTAGTGGGAGCAAGTTCATTATTTTGGTGCTATATGTGGATGACATTTTGTTAGCTAGTAATGACCTTGGCTTATTGCATGAAACCAAGGAATATCTCTCCAAAAAAAACTTTAAAATGGTCGATATGGGTGAGGCAAACTATGTTTTTGGCATAGAGATCTGTAGGGATCGATCTCGAGGATTGCTAGGACTATCACAGAAAGGATATATTGATCGTGTTTTGGAGAGATTCAATATGCAGTTTTGTTCAGCCGGTGATGCACCCATCATGAAGGGTGATAAATTAAGTGAAAAATAGTGTCCAAAGAATGACTTGAAAAGAAAACAAATGAAGGACATTTCATATGCTTTGAGGCTACAAATCATGCTTTATAGTTGCGAAAATTCATCTCAGGACTTGATGTTGTTGACTCAATTGCCAGGCCGCTGAAGATATATTGTTACAATACCGCAACAGTTTTCTTCTCTAAGTACGGAAAGTACTCCAATGGTTCTAAACACATGGAAGTAAAGTACTTAGTTGTTAGAGAAAGAGTCCAGAAACAACAAGTGTTAATTGAAAACTTAAGCACATCTCTTATGATTGTTGATCCATTCACAAAGGGATTGCCACCAAAGACATACAAAGAGCATGTTATCAGGATGTGTCTTTTAAGCAACCCTTGATGTGTATGGTTAATCGTGAGTACTTATTTTTATTTGACACTATTTGCGCAATAATAATTTTGTTTCTGTTTTTCCTGTTCTAAAAGTGTGTGTACACATTAAATTGAATATTGATAAACAGGGAATGTCTTAACAAGACAAATTACAGGGGTCTTTCAGGAAAATAATTATATATCCTGATAATGGACTGGGTTGGTGAAGGTTATCGATGGTGTAGTGCATAGAAGGAAATATGACATAAATGTTATATAACCGCTATGACTTACATTGGTGATCTGAAGTAATCATAGTATTATAGTTTCTAATATATCTGAACTTATTGGCTATTTTTTAAAAAATTCGTGATCACGTGTCAAAGTTTTTATTGTGGAATCCAATGAGTCCAAATTTTTATAAGTTGCATATTTTTGGAAAAACTCATAATTGCATCATAATCGGCTTAATGGGCCAAGTGGGAGAATGTTGGATTTATTTTCTAGTGTGGCTCAATAGCCTACATATTTTTACATGTTTTATTTTATTTGGACTCCACAATTAGATAAAGCCAATATTATATATAAAGTTCAGTAATTAGAATTTTAATATAATCACTCTTCTAAGGTAAGAAGGAAACCTTGATAGATTAGGAATTCTTCTGATAGAGTTTAGCTGGCCCTCTTCTCTCCTCTATATAAGGATGGGTGACTCCCCTTCTTTTGATATTATTCCATCACTCTAAGTTTTATAGTCATCCTAATGAAGTGAGAGACAGAGAGAAGAAGGTGAGCCAAGAATTAACGGTTTAACTATTAGGGGTATTTTCTCAACTTATCTAATTCAATGGCTCACAGAGGTATATTCATTTTATTTTTGAGTTGTATTAAATTCAAGTCCTGTTAAGTTTAATTCCGCATTATTATTATTATTATTATTATGATTATGATTATGATTATGATTATGATTACATGTATTATTAAATCTTACACAAACTAATTTCAGTTTCCCATAATTCCTTGAATTCTCTGAATCCCAAGCTAAACCCAATCTTGATTGCTGATAATTAGGGTTCGATCCAATACAATCAAAATGAATCTAAAAATGTCACAAGACATGAGAAGGAAGGGTAGAGAGAGAGAGAGAGAATTACGAACCGGCATTGAGAAGGACGTCGAAGGCTTCTTGGTGGCCTGAATCCATGGCGAAGTCGCCAGCGGAGAGGTTGGAAGGAGAGAGAGCGTTCCAAGGTGCGCCGGCTTCGAGGAGGCACTTCACCGCATCGGCGTGGCCGTGCTTGGCGGCGTGCATCAGAGGGCTTAAGCCGTGGCCATCGAAGTAAGAGACGTCAGCTCCGGACTCTATGAGAGCTCTCACCTTGTCTGTGTCGCCATTTCTCGCCGCCTCGCAGAGTTGCTCCTCGTCCTCCATGTCTGCGCTCGCTCCAACTGGTATAATACCAATATATCGAGGTTGAGGGTACCTAAATTTTTTTCTTATAGGCGCCGGAATATATAATCAACCAGAAAAAAATAAAATAAAATAAAAATCATATTATGGTAAAACATCACTAAATCTCAAAATGTAATCTTGTGTACTATTTAATCTCTTCTTCTTTTTTTATTAATCCAAAAACCTCACTAAAGTAAAAATTACATAAAAAGATAGTCATTTATATATTTGGTTTAATTTTTTTAAGAATAAAAGTGAATTTTTTAAAATGTAAAATTATATATTTAGACAATTTGCACTATAGAAGTTTTACATTTTCTCTCATTCTAGAATAAATACCACATTATGAACAAAAACCTAACATTCTAATGTAATACTCTAATAACGTAACACTTCAATGTAACACACTAAAAAAATTTCTTGGTGTATTTTTTCCCAATGTAACACAAAAAAAAATAGTGTATTTTTCTCAAACGTAACACTCCAATCAATATAATCCCAAATGTAATACTTCAATGTAACACACTCCAATATAACACACAAAAACACTAAAAAAACTCATGAGTGTATTTTTTTCAAACATAACACTCACAATTTAAAATTATACATTTGCCAAAAACTTACTAATGAATATGTATACTTCTTTTGGAATGGTTTGAAGAATTTCACACTTTTTTTTTTAGTGTTACATTGTAGTGTTATGTTTAAAAAAAATACACTAAGTTTTTTTTTTTTGTATTTGTTACATTGAAGTGTTACGTTTGAGAAAAAATACACCAAATTTATTTTATTTTTTTTTGTTACATTAAAGTATTACGCTAATGTCACGACTCAAACCCGCCTCTAAACATGATAACATAAGTTAGAGGCTACGGAAGTAAATATACAAAATTAACGTAGTCCATAGAGTAGTGCAAACATGCATGGAACAGAAAATTTCAAAACAAGCTTATATATATATACAGATGTGACGTCAAAATACATTAGTCTCAGTCACCCAACTACACTGATAGGGTTAAAAGGTACTTAGCCCAAGTACAGTTATACAAAACAATCTCAACTAAAGTCTTGACATGATCCTCTCAAAAGGAACCTCCTCAGGAGGCACGGTAGTTGATTGACAAAACAGAAACATAGGCCGTCAATCCTGGACCTGCTCACCTACATACATAACATAAATAGTGAGCTGGAACTAAGTGAACAATAACAGAGCAAAGAGGTTTAATGAATGTTGTCCATAACAGTTACAGAAAAACAGAATTTAATAGTTATCAGAAGTGAATTTGTAATTATGTTCAGAAATCATAGTACATATCAGATACAGTTTCAGAGTTGTATTCATAATTAGAACTTACAGTTAATCATACGTGACACATTCATTACCACTAGAAGAAACAGTTGACCCATAAAAGGACGGTTATAAAGACATACAGTTGACCCATAAATGGACGGCTATAAAGGCATGCAGTTGACTCTCGTGCACGGAGACGGTATAGTTGACTCATGAGACATTCAGTTGGGCCATGAAGGGATGTATATATAAGGATCCATAACAGTCGGCTTATGAAACATACAATTGGCCCATAATTGGGACGTAACAGAACAGATAACAGATATCATTTGAAGCTAAGAATACCACGAATACATTTCAGAAACATTGGACAACTATTCATTCATACAGAAAATAATATAAATAGAAACAAATCATCTTATATTATTCAGAAAATACTTATAATTGAATATAGCTTTACAAAGTTATTACTCACAGATAACAGAGTCTCCACGGTAAACAGACAAAATAAGCAAATTAGATGTCTTGCGGCGCGTGACCTACGTAACATAACGGATACATACATTGCAGCACACGCTCGGAGTGTACATAACTTATTTCATTGTTCTTAGTGTGTTTCTAGCTTTTATCTTTATTATGGTGTCTTAATTTTGGCTTAGGAATGGCAAGGATGAAATGAGGATGCACAAATGTGCTTGAAAACATTTTTCAAAATTTACTAAAAACAGGATCCACGCTCGAGCAGACTTGCAAAACATGAAGATTCGCTCGAGCGTAACTTTCTTCGCTCGAGCAGTCTTTAAATTTTGAAAAAGTATTGGTTGCTTGCTTTTCATGCTCAACGGACGCTTAATCCTCGCTCGAGCGTGAGACTCAGACCTTCGCTCGAGCGTGACTCTTGTCACTCGAGCGATCTGCAAAAATACATGAACTTCTGGGAGCTTGCATTTAACGCTCGAGCGGACTTGTAGTCGCTCGAGCGTAATTGCACACACTCAGAGTGATTGCTCGAGCGTGAACTCCTACGCTCGAGCGCATGTGCAAATTCTGGAATTCCCAAATTTGTTCTCCAAATTCAAACTCAACCTTAAAGCATCAAACTCGATTTTTCTGGGCCAAAACTTGAGGAAACATTTAGAAACTCATAAAACATCATAAATTAAGGATTATTTCATGAATTTATGGCCCCATAGCTTGCTAATTATGCAAAAATTCAACTTAAAATTTATGAATGCTCCATGAACATGACATGCGTGAATTTCTTTGAGCTTAAGCTTCTAAAACAAGATCAAATGCTACAAAGTAACATGAAACTTGATGATTCCCCAAAATTAAGGTGAATTCAAGACATGCATGAGGGAATTCTTGGAAATTAAATCCAAAATGCAAAAAAATATGCATGCATGAATGTATGGAATGACTTAGTTTTCTTCAATTCTAGCTCAATTCCTACATGAATTCACTCAATTCACTTGTTTTCATACATTAATCAACTACATTACAAGATCAAAGGCTAATTCTCTTACCTAGAGTTTGAATTGCACAACTGAGGGAGCTTCAATTCCCAAATTCTTGGCAAATCTTCAATACTTCTTGGCAATTCTCTCCTATCCCAACTTTTGATCTCAATTGCCTTCTCTCTCTCACTCTCTCGTGTGTTTGCTTGAATGGGGGAGCTCAAATATGTTGAATAAAGAAGAAAGAAAGAATAAAGGCATATAAGAAGCCTTATATAGGCAAACTTGAATATAAATAATTAAGGCTAAATAAGTGGACATTAAATTAATCTAATTTAATCGTTCCGAATCAAATTTCAATTGAACCTACTATAAAATTCTAAAAATTTCAATTAACACATAAAGCAAGTCAATTTCTGAATCGGATGCCAATAAGGCTTTCAATTCGCAAACCGAAGTAAAAACATGAACAGATCTTTCTATGTTAAATAGATATATACACACACATAAGGCAACATATGATGCAACATTTTACTTCAATTATTTATTAGGCGTAATTAAGCATGAAATAACATTAATCATGGGTCAAGGTTGTTACAACTGAGAAATTTGTTTAGAGTGCTATATTAAAGTGTTATGTTTGAAAAAAGTATATTAAGGAGTTTTTTTGTGTGTTACGTTAGAGTGTTACACTAAGGAGTTTTTGTGTATTACATTAGAGTGTTACACTAAAGAATTTTTTAAAAAATATTATATTAGATTGTCACATTTGAGATAAATACACTAAGAATTTTTTTGTGTGTTACATTTGAGTGTTACACTAAAGAGTTTTTGTGTGTTACATTAGAGTTTTACACTAAAGAGTTTTTTTGAAATGTTATATTAGAGTGTTACGTTTGGTAAAAATATACTAAGATTTTTTTTTGTGTGTTACATTAGAGTGTTACAATATTTTTTTTTTTTTTTTGTGTATTACATTAGAATGTTACACTAAAAAGTTTTTTTGAATTGTTATATTGAAGTGTTACGTTTGAGAAAAATACAATAAAGAGTTTTTATATGTGTTACATTAGGGTATTACACTATGATTTTTTTTTTTTGAATGTTACATTGGAGTATTACAATTTGAAACTATACATTTGGCCAAAATTTACCAGGTAGTTTTTGTACTTATTTTGAAATATTTGAAAAATCTCACATCATTTTGGGATGTTTGAAGAATCCCATATTTTAAGTCATTTTTGTATTTCTTTTGAAATTTTTTCAAATATATATATATATTTTTTACATAAAAATTCATCCCAAATTTGATTCAACCTTACCTTTTTATCATAGAAAATAAAAGAAAAGAAAAGAAAAGAGAAGGAATAAAATAGAAATAAGAGTATAACCGTAAATTTAGTTTTTAAATAATATATTAAATATACATTTTCAAAATTAATAGGACTAATTGGTCTATAAAAAAATCTTAGGACTAAATGGATCACCATTCCTTAAGATGAGATTTATAGATAAATTTTCCTTCATCTTATTGTAACAAAATAATTTTTAAATTTTATTAAATTATTATTATTTTTAATTTGGATTCTATACTTATTTTTTGTTAAGTAAATTTGGCGGAAGGAATTATATTTTAGTCATCAAACTAAATTAAGAAATTTTCTATTAGTTTTAGTTCAAAAAATATAAGAATTTTTAGATTTAAAACCAATCAAAAAAATTATAATTTAAATTGATAAAATTAAAAATTAAGATTTTATTTCGTTATAAAGGTCCAATTTTATTTCTTTTTTTAATTTCTCTTTTTATAAATTTATAAGTAAATAAATTAAATATTTACCATTGATAAAATATATATTAGGCCTTGTTTGGGGAGTAACTATTTTAGCTAAAAAGTCAAAAAATTACTATAAATTGTTACATTACTTTCTCTACTTTTCTGCACATATTTTCGTAAAAAATTAAAAAAAATAACATGTTTCCAAACGAGGTTAAGTCACACAAAATCTTACTATGGATTATTAATCTGCCCAATGGGATACATTATATCATTTGTCATTAACCTAATGTTAGGAAGGGAGTTTAAATTTTAATCATTAAGGAAAACAACCTTTTCCTCTTATTGATATTTTACTATTTTTAGATTGTGTGAGATTTTTAATTTTTTTTTAATATATTTTATCATGGTTTATATCAAAATTTTCAAAAATCCACTTAAACCACAATAATCCGAAATTCATATAAATACATGAATCATAAGATCCAATCCTATTCTTATTTATTATTATTTTTTTAAATACATGACTATATGTATATGCAATTGCTTAAAAATTATTTCGACTTTGATTGGTGCAATTTTTTTTAAATGAATATACATATTTCAATTAAAAAATACATTAATTAAATAAATAAATTATTTGATACATACCCATTTTAACTAAATTTGTTGAAACACATTAACTAAATCAATATTTTTTTATTTTATTTTTTAGTGAACAAGTGTAAACAAACAAATTTAGACTGAATTATTTTAAGGTATAAGAATAGGCCTCAATGCCATCTCTAAACATGCATCACAAAACTATATATAGGATTGTTTAGAAAATGACTTTTTTATGATTTTTTTTATTATTATTTAAAATATGAGATGAAAAAATTTAGGAAAAATTAATGAAAGATCCCTACCAAACTTTGAATAGTATGAGACATCCAATATATATTTTTTATTAACTAAGGTCCCTTACTATTAACCCAGCAAACTCTCTCTTCCGTTTTCAACTTTCTTTCTCTTCACCCATTGAACCACTGACCCTCTCCATCTGTACACTATTGCAATGTTGCATTGCTGTCACTAGTCACCAATTCAACGATCACCCTTTATTACTGATCTCTCTTCAACAACTGCTTAGGCCTTAGATTGCACTTTTCTAAACATCTAAAACCTTAGAAATAGATTTACATACTCTAGAAGTTAAGATTAAAGGTAGTGATTCAAATTCAAGGAACAAGAGAGCCAAAAGCATAGAAAATTGAAACTTTTCAGAGAGATAAATAGAGAGAAACAAGAGAATTGCAAATCATAGAGTGCTTAAGATAGCTTCAGAGTCTTGTCTTTTATTTGTTTGTGAATATCATTAGACAAGCAAATCGGAAAATAGTGTTCTGTTTTTGAAGCAAACCAAAAAAGTGTTTTGTTATGGGTTATTGTGAACAGATGCAAGGTTGTATTCAAGAAGTTCAAATTTTTTGCTAAATCGAAGCAAGTTTGTTTTTGCTATTTTTTATTTGTGATTTTTAATTTTCTCTAGATTAGATGTATGGATTGAGAAATTAATTAGAATTGTGTTCAAATATGTTTTTCTTTGTATTTTTGTGGGTTAGTTAGTAATTTTCTGTGATTTTCTCTATGTTTAACATGCTTATAAGTTTTGTAATTTTCTTTAGACTTTTATTTGTAATTTGTAATTTTTTCTGGACATGCAAGTGTGTGATGCCCAAAGAAGATCAAAATGGTAGAGAAATTTCAGAGAAAATCAAATGTGCCAAAGAAATCCATATGCAAGTAAATTTCTCTGATTACATCTGTAAAAAACTTTCAAAGAAAATCAAATGTGCTAGAGAAATCAACTTGCAAGTAAATTTCTCTGACTACATTTGCAGAGAATGTAAATTTCGCTGACTACGTTTGCAGGAAAATTTTATATGCAAGTCAGATTACTAGTGTGTGACAATCAAAGAAGATCAACATAGAAGAGAAATTTCAGAGAAAATCTGTGTCAAAGAAATCAACATATAGGTGTGTAATGTGTCTAGTGAAAATCAAATACACAAGAGTACATTTCTTTGACTACATTTGCAAAGAAATTTTATAAGCAAGTTAGAGAAATTTTGAAATTTCTCTGTGTCGAGATCAAAATTTCGCTGATTCAGGCCAAAATCTTTTAGTCGATTTTTTTTTTTTTTTGTAAAAATGTCGAGGGACTCCAACTACTATTAAAATATTACATGTCCTTTATCTTATAAAATCTTAATTTCAGGAACCTTAAAAAAAAAATTCCAAAAATTTAACATTTAAATTTATTTTAATTTTTTTTATAGTGAAATGTATAATAAAGTAATGTAAATGAAAACAAATATTTGACTTTATAGAGTGAATAAAAAAATTCATATTCATCACAAAAAAAAAGTGAATAAAAAAAAAATTTAACTTTTGTTTGACTTATTATTATTATTATTTTTGAGAAATTACACATCAGTGTCATTAGAAAAAAAAAATAATAAAAAAAATAAAAAATTATGATTTCAATTATTAATATTTATAATATTTATTATTTTTTATAAATATATTTTTTTGTATGTCATTGATATATAATTTCCCTAATTTTTTTAAGAGTAATGTTAGAAATATGAAAAATTCTATCAAATTTTTTACAAAATGTTTCACATAGGTGCGGTACATGAACTTGCATGGTATGAGTTGATTAGTTCGGGGACAACGCCACGTGGTACTTTTATGTGTATTATAATCGATAGTGAGATCCACGATTTTGTATTGAATAATTAAAAAACATAACGAAATATAATAATTTGTGATTAATTAAGCACATAGCCACGCCTCATAAACATTACATACCCCCCAAAACAAATACTCATAAATCTACTAATAATTTTTCAAGTCTTACGCTAAGACATTTTATGGATAAATCATATTGACACCTCTTGAGGTTTGGTCTAATTACTATTCATCTCTTGACATTTTAGAAATTATATTTCCACCCCTGTGATTAATACTCTCATTTCATAAATCTCCTGCTTATATAAAATGTAATTTCTAGTAGAAAAACAGAATAAATTACATTAAAAAAAAAGTGAAAGAAAGGGAAAAAAAAAGAAAAGAAAATAAAGCAAAGCAAAAAAAGAGAAACTGCATGAGTTTAATGCCTTCATTCCGTCTAAATAATTACAATGATAGGGATTAGTGTAATTTCCAAACGTTAAGGGTGATATGTATTAAACCCAAACTTCAGGGGTGTAAATGTAATTTACCCTAAAATTTTTAAGACATTTTATATTTTTTAAGGAGAAAGTACCAACTGCCACGACAAACATAATCGAACGGCTCCGTTGACGAAACCGTAATCGACCTCGATCTATGGATGCGGTGTAAAACGTAAACTACTCTTCTCCGCAGCCAATCATTTATTTCCCTCTCCCTCCCTCTCTCTATCTATTATGAGAAGAGACATGAAAATATTTCTCTCATATTACAATAAAAAATAAAAAATAAAAAATAAAAAAAAATTCTCAACCAAAGCAGGCCTTCTTATTGTTGAAGCCAATGATCCATCGGTTTGTTGTATTGCTGTTTCTGGAGACCTTGTGCTGATATTTTGACAGATTCTGACATTTGTCTTTTGGAAGTTTCAAAACTTTCATAGATTCTCCCCAAATTATACAGATTTTGGTAAGAAAAGCTTGTGAACATAGATATGGCGTCGCATTTTGACCGGTGGGAAAAGGATCCGTTCTTCTCTGCAGCGGAGGAGGTCCAGGAATCCGCCGACAGGTGACGTTTCATTGCCCACCTAGGGTTTTTATGTTTTGATTTTGATTGCCTTGCGCATTTTTAGATTGGTTTTATGTTTATGCAGATGAATGTGTAGATTTTGTTGCATATTAATGAGAGATTATTGATTGTTTCTTGTTAATGTTTTGCTGTCTATTATGTTATGAAGGATGGAATCGACTTATAGGACGTGGATTCACTCAATGAAAGATTCCAGTAAGTGGAATTCTGAAGAACTTCGTAGGGACCTTCGTACTGCCATCGGCACTACCAAATGGCAGGTCATCTCCACCTCACCTTCTCTCCGTGATATATATATATATATATATATTTCTGTTGTTGTTGGTTTAGGTTGGGTTGTGGGCGGAGATAAACTCGGGATTCTAACCTAGAGGGGACGAACATATACACTAACAAGAATTTTGGGGGGAAAAAAACTGCAATATTAATTTGTAACGGCATGAGAAATGAAAAATTAATAAATATATATATATATATATATATAAATGAGCTTGTTTTCTTGTGTTAAGGACATCTATGTGTACACACAATTTAATTAAGAAATTTAAATGGTTGTTGTCGTGTTTAACACTGAATATTTTGAAACTTTAATCTTTCTCTTTATTCAAATACTTTGATCATATGTTAATGTATGAATTAGGATGTATCATGTAGGGACATAGAAAGTGAAAGGTAGAATGAGATGAAATTTATTTAAAATAAAGTAAAAATCTAAAGGGGGCAAGGCTATATATTTTGGAAATAATTAGTAGCTAATAATACTAGTATAGTGAGCAGATTTTTTGAAATCATAGGGGTGGTGATTGCTCCTGCTTGCCACCCCTAGGTCTGTCCTTGGTTGTGGGAACAAAGGGTGTTTTTGGGCTGATCCCATATTTGCATAATGAATGATGAATTGCTTATTCTGCTGTTCATGCAGTTGGAGGAATTTGAACGGGCTGTCAAGTCTAGTTACGATAGTACCTTAGCTGATGATGCCAAAGAGAGGCATTGTGAATTCGTAAATGCAATTGGGTGCCAGATTTCAAAAACTGAGAGTTCATTGCGGGAATTATCCATTTCAGACGGCAAGCCACCTTTGCCATGGGTGCGATTGGATGAAGGAGAATCCCACGAACTTGCAATGTTTCTTTCGGGACCAGCAATGCACGCAGACAAAACTTCTCCAAAAATTAATGTCCAGGCTGAACTATTGGCTAACCCACAAGAGACTGATAAACAGTTAATGCACGAGTGTTCAAAGAATTCACATCATTTACTGGAGTGCAATCTAGTCGAGGCTATGGAGGAGAAGTTGCCTGGGCATCGCAGGACGGCAAGTGCTAGTGCTGATATTGGTTCCTGGAAGATTGCTGTTACTGATGATGCTTTCCCTCAGAGTTCCTCTGGACACATTGGGCCATCCCCTCGAAAGATACCCAGTTTTTCAGGGTTCCTAAATACGATGGAGGCCGCATCTAAGCTGAAGTGGCCAAAAAATGGGTACAGGAAATTGAAGAATATGGATCATCCCCAAGAAGCTGACAGTACATCACAATCTCTGCCATTGACAAGGGTATTACTTCTTGATTTCCATATTCATGTAGTATGTTGCCAATGCTTATATTCCTGCTTTCTCTGCACAGGGTGTTAATGCATGTTGCGAAAAAAGTAAGAGTTGCCTGGATGGTTCATCTGGTTGTGATGACTGCTATGACAAGCAACTCTATAGTTGGTATGGAGCTATTCAGAGACTGCTTCAAAGGTCTCAGTATCAAATGCAATATAGTCGGCCTATTCAAGTGGTTTTTTGGATTGTTCTTCTTTGCTTGATTGGTGAGCTTTCTTGAACTCTAACCATATATTGTTTTTTGTAACTAGGTTGATTGTTATCTTTTTATCGGATTATAATATTTCACAATATATTTGCAATTATGCTTATTTACATGCAGCGTGTGAATTGTCAGCAAGGTTCAGTAAAATGCAGCTGAAATTATTGAGCTGTTAAATTTTTTTGCCAGTCTGCTTATATAGATTATATGCATGTATGTAAAGTATGCATTACATTTATATATGTTTGATGGGAATGAGACAGTTAAGCAAATACTGTTACGTTTGATTTAGTTTTAAAATTGTGATTTGAGTGTGGAGTTGTGTTTTGAGTTATGAGTTTTTGAATCATGATTTGAAAAGAGAAAATTTGCTTGGTTATGAGTTTTGAAAATAGTTTAAAGATGATTTGTAATTTTTTTTTTTTTGATTGATTGATGTATAAAATGTGAGAAAATGTGAGAGGAGAGAGGAGAGAGAAAAAATGATTGATTGATTGATGAAAAATAATTTAAAAAAAAAGAGAGAAGAAATGAGTTTTGAAAGTAATTTTGAGTTGTGTTTTGAAAATGTGTTTGGTTAATATGTTTCATCCAAATCATGATTTAAAAATAGAGTTGAGCTTGAAAAGTAAATCAAACGCTACCTAGATATTTTCATTTTGTGCCTACCATCTACCCATAGAATTCGTTTCAGGTATTTTAAATAGGTTTTGGATGTTTAGGATCGTAATGGAACGGAATGAAAATCTGGATGGATGCTGTGAGAGATTTTCATTTTATCTTCCTCTGCTTGGCATTAAACCTGATCAAACCGATTGAACCAACCAAAACCCACCAAACCGATTAATTTTGGTCTGCTATTTTACTATATCTGGTTTGTAGCGGTTCAATTGAAAAAAAAATGCCATTTTTTTCTCTCATTTATATATATATATATTATATCATTTAACAATTGAATAACAAATGACTTTCTCTACATCTATTCATTATCTCGCTTCCCTGTAAAGACAAAAGCAGCAAAGTCTGCCTCAATGTATTCATTATTCCTACTTCCAAATGAAAGCAGTTTATCATATCTCTTTCTCACCCTCATTCATTACACGTGTCACTGCTCTCATTTCTTATAGTTTATCCTTTTTCCAATTCCCAACATAAGCAAGCAGCATATACATTTCTCAAAGACCCACTTTTTTCTTTCTTCTTACATGGTTCTCTCTCCAATTCAATCTCTCTGCTCTCTTCTCACATTTTTTCTCTTTCCTCTTCTCTTCTCTCTATCATCTTTCTTCCCTCTAATTTATATTCTTCTCTATTCTCCTCACCAAAAAACACTGTTGAAACCTCTTGATTAAAATGCTGAAGGGAAGAGGAGAAAAGAAGAATAGAGAAGAAGAAAAGAGCCACAACCGCCATCGCGAGAGAGAACGTGAGAGAGAGAGTGATCGTGAACGAGACAGGAGAGAGAGAGAGATCGCGATCGCGAGAGAGAAGGCGAGAGAGAGAGAGACCGATGGTGAGCGAGACAGAAGCGAGAAGAAGACAACGAAAGAAGGGAAGAGAAGACGAAGACGAAGATGAAGACGAAGCAGAAGAGAAGAAGCAAAGAGAGGAGAAGAAGTAGAGAAGAGAAGAAGAGGAGAAGAGAGCAGAACCTGTTGGAGTGGAAGAAAGCCGAGGCGCACAAGGCGCTCGCCTTGCGCTTCGTAATAAGGTGCTCGCCTCATCGCCTGTGTCGCCTCGCCTCGCCTCGCCTCACCATGACTGAGGTGCAAAGCTGCGCCTTGCCTCGCCTTGAGCTTAGGCGCGCGCCTAAGTGTGCTTTTTAAAACACTGGTTTTAAGATGATTTGTAATTTTTTTATTTTTTTTGATTGATTGATGTATAGAATGTGAGAAATGTGAGAGGAGAGAGGAGAGAGGAGATAGAAAAAGTGATCGATTGATTGATAAAAAATAATTAAAAAAAAAAGAGAAGAAAAGATTTTTGAAAGTAATTTTGAGTTGTGTTTTGAAAATATGTTTGGTTAATATGTTTAATCCAAATCACGATTTAAAAATAGAGTTGAGCTTGAAAAGTAAACCAAACGCTGCCTAGATATTTTCATTTTGTGCCTACCATCTACCCATAGAATTTGTTTCAGGTATTTTAAATATGTTTTGGATGTTTAGGATCGTAATGGAACTGAATGAAAATCTGGATGGATGCTGTGAGAGATTTTCATTTTATCTTCCTCTGCTTGGCATTAAACCTGATCAAACCGATTGAACCAACCAAAACCCACCAAACTGATTAATTTTGGTCTGCTATTTTACTAGATCTGGTATGTAGCGGTTCAATTGAAAAAAAAATGCCATTTTTTTCTCTCATGTATATAAATATATATATTATATCATTTAACAAATGTATAACAAATGACTTTCTCTACATCTATTCATTCTCACTTCCCTGTAAAGACAAAAGCGGCAAAGTCTGCCTCAATGTATTCATTATTCTTACTTCCAAATGAAAGCAATTTATCATACCTCTTTCTCACCCCCATTCATTACATGTGTCACTGCTCTCATTTCTTATAGTTTATCCTTTTTCCAATTCCCAACGTAAGCAAGCAGCATATACATTTCTCAAAGACCCACTTTTTTCTTTCTTCTTACATGGTTCTCTCTCCAATTCAATCTCTCTGCTCTCTTCTCACATTTTTTCTCTTTCCTCCTCTCTTCTCTCTATCATCTTTCTTCCCTCTAATTTATATTCTTCTCTATTCTCCTCACCAAAAAACACTGTTGAAACCTCTTGATTAAAATGCTGCAGGGAAGAGGAGAAAAGAAGAATAGAGAAGAAGAAAAGAGCCACAACCCTAACACAACAACCACAACCTTAAACACAATATATTATTCCAAAGCTAAATATTACAATGCAAAGACCTTAATATTTATAGGCTAGAAACCCTATTTCAAAATAGGAATTTAAATCCTAGTATTGTATGGAAACTTAATCTCCTTTGTGTAGCAAGCTTCATCTTGTCTTAGAGACTTTGGTTCACTGGCTTCATGCTTCTATTTGCCCCCCACACATTGAGCTATAGCACACCCCTGGCACCCACTCGGCTTGCTTAGCTCACTTAGAGAAGGCTACCGAGTGGTGTCCCACTCTCCATGAGCATCCTAGCATTGCCCATTGTCGCTTAGGTTGTGATTAAGGCCTAGTAAACCCGTGTTCGGGATTACTAAAGGACTCCTGGCTTGGAGGCTAAAGTTGAAGGATCGTCAAGGTTATCTAGCCCACCTCCTCAAGTGGATCCACCTTGACGAGTCTAAGGCCTCGTTTGGCATACGAGGGTTTTAATTTAAAAGTTAAAAAGTGACTAAAAAAATCAAAAAATTTATAACCTATATCAAAAAGTCAAAAATTCTATTTTATCTCTACTTTTTACACATTTTTTTCGTAAAAAACTAAAAAGTTATTTTAAATATACTAGTTTTTTTACCTCATATTTTAGTCAAAGAGTCAAAAAATTACTAAAATAGTATGTTCCCAAATGAGGCCTAAGAGAGAGGCATTGACCAAGACATATGACACGCTGAAGAACATATCATACCTATCATTGGAGTCCCTTTGATGCAACTTTCAAAGTGTATCATACCTACCACTACAGACCTCATGATATGACTGCGGATCCTCCAGGTTTGATTAGTGGACACAATGGTGGATGGAATATCTCCATAATATTGAATTAAGGAGGGTTGAACCACCAATCCAGAAGTGAATTGTCCCCCAGTGGTTCATCGGATCTCATTGCATGAGTTGAGGCTTCCTACTTTCTAATTACCCTCGGACAACTTAGCTCCTCCGGAAAGAACCAGACTTCTCAATTGCCATTATTTTTTTCTCTCAAGATTGCTCAACTCTCTTCCTCCACCTCTAGTGGTCCCCTGCCATATCAGTAGTGCCTATCATCTTACTAGAAGGCCCTACTTCAGTCACCTTAGGGCCATCTTTCCACACTATATAGAACTTAACTCACACGGATCACTAGTACTAGGATGCGTGTCCTATACGCTTCCTTGGGGGTTGAACCATGTTTGTCCCAACTATAGGTTAATGGCATGGTGCCTTAGCTTCAGTTATAGTGCTAGGGGCATTCCTTTGGCAGAAACCTCACTCTTCATATTCTAGGTGAAATATATCAGTTAAGCATGGCAACCTAAGTTTGTTCCCAATCTCAATTGCATTAGATTGCTTTTCATGGACTTCCCTGGAAGGAAAAGTCTTGAGTGTGCAAGGCATACTGTATGCCATTTACTTATGTATTTTTGTGACTTAAGTTACACATTTTTGTGAAAACTTGCAACATGTTTTATGGGTTAATTTATGGGAATTTGTGTTAAGTTACGTGATTTCGCGAGGTGACTTGCGTATGTTTGTGAAAACTTATGCCAAGTTGTGATTTCTCAAATTTTTATGGGTTAACTTACGTGAATTTGTGTTTAAGTTACGCGATTTTGTGAAGTGTCTTATGTATGTTTGTAAGAACTTACGCCAAATTGTGATTTTTTCAAATTTTTATGGGTTAACTTACGTGAATTTGTGTTTAAGTCACGTGATTTTGTGAGGTGACTTACGTTTATTTGTGAGAACTTATGCCAAGTTGCATAGGGGTTGCACACCCAAACACTTCCCAATAATGCTTGTTCAACAATATATTATTCTTAATAAAAATAGTCAGGATTTGGAATGTTTTTATTGGAAGGAGAAATTTTCTTGGAAGTTATGAGATGAATCTTTAGAAATTCTCTTTTAAGATTGCTAGCAGCAGCTTTTTCTAGGTCTCATCACTGATAGTCAAGCAAATTGTGAGGTGACCTGATGAGTGATGACATAGCACATTGTAAATAGTTTCACTTAAAATTCAATTGGTAAGCACTCTTTTTACTTTGGTTCCATCTGTTAAAAAAGAGATGATGGTGTGCGTGTTGTATGTACGTGCTTGTTTTTGTGTGTGAAAATAACTATAATTTGTATTCCATATATGTGTTTTGGAATACTGGCTTTCATCCTCCCAAGTTTTGAATATATAGTGCTTTTCAATGTTGTTTTCTTCTCTCTCTTTGAGTTATTTTGTTTTTTGGAGTCTTAATTCGGTATTGGTTCTCCATGCAGTTTTATTTGCGTTGCATGCAATTTAAGGAGCAGCAGTAGGTTCTTCATTCAGCATTTTGTCATTGATAGCAAGTATATGGGGGTGGACAAGTCCCAAAACAGTGTTGCACGTTCTTCATGCTGATAGCTGATCAAGGCAGGTGTGTTTTTGTCTTCTATTTGATGCCATATAATGTTGAATGTCGATGGTCATAATTTTACTGTGATGCTGTGGTAATAGCCTCATCCACTTCTTTCCCAGTTTGATTTTCTTGACCTGTAAATTCTGTAGTATTATTATCATATGAACCAAGGGGATAGCTGACGATTTTGGTCCACATTGTATTCCTAAAAAGCAGAAAAATCCACATTTCTGCCACTTGCAGTTTTTTGTTGTTGATGTATATAGTTAATTTTTTCTTGATCTGCATTTGTGTTTTGTAGTTATAGAACTATTGGTGTAGCATGTAGAACCTTGAATAGTCTTCTGTTATTCATTCCATCTTTTTGTTTCGCTCGGTGACTGCAAAGGGAAAAAAGTAGTGTAGTGTATCGTTCAGTCAATTATCAAAGGTTTCTTTAATGCTTAAAATTATTTATGGAATAGTTCAGTTAGCCAAAATTCCTGCATCTCACTAGGATATCAAGGGAAGTATTGCCACATGCAAGATTTTCCCTTCCTAAGCTACAGTCTCCAATGTGTATATATAAATATTTATTTATAACCAAGGGCGGAACTAAAAAATTTGTTCAGAAGGGGCCATTTTATATGCATAAAAATACTGAATTAGTTTTGGTACATTACTAATTGAACTTAATTTCTTATATAAACGTTGTGAAAGAAGTATTTCATGAGAAAACTAACTAAATAAATCTAACAAATAGTTTTTTAGTTTTTAAAAGTTCTGAACTATTAGATGTTAGTATACAATTGGTTAGACCATTGTTTTAAGATATTCTATTGATTTATATAATCTAATAAATAAGAAGTAAAAAATGCTTAAAACTCTTAAAAACATAACTCTTAAATTTATACTCAATGACATTGAACATTAGATGTCATTGATTGTTTAAAAATCAATCAACAAAGACCCCATCCCTACCATGTCACTGTGAATAAATTTAGGGGTGAAGTTTTAGGTTCTCTAGCATTACTCATAAGAAGTATATATACCATTTTATTTTTGAAGTTAAAAAATAAGTGATATGTATTTCTTATATCAATAAAATCGACTCGATAAAATTGATGTTATTATCTAAAATATAAAATAATTAGAGATCATTTTCATTATACATTGTGAAATATTAATGGAATAGAAGGTAAAATAAATTTAAGAGATCATCCCATTATATATTTTACGAATACATAAATATAAAATTAGTACTTGTTTGGCAGGCATTAAAAAAGTGCATTTTTTTGCATACATACACTTATTTGGGTCACATCAATCAACATATCCTCTCTATTTTTCTACATATATTTTTTATTTATTATAAAAAGTCAAAAAGTGTACTTATTTAGAACATCCCAAACATCTCCTTAATAATAGATTGTAAAAAATCGGAGGGGCCATTCTGCCCCCGTTTATAACGTATTGAACTCGATGGGTGAACCTTTTTTTTTTTTTGGGTATACTTATTTTTGTGGCACACACTGACCAGTCCTTCCTCAGTTCAGTTATGGCAGGGCAGGGGATAATGACTTTATTTATTTAGTTCACGACTTAGGAAGATGAATAAATATGGACAGAGTGAACTTCCGTCTTAGGCCTATTGAGAAAGGTCTTCTGCTCAATGCTTGTACAGAAGGAGCCTAGCCCCCTTTTGTGGCACACACATATGCATGTATGCATGTATGAATGGCGTTTCCTTTTGATTTTGATAAATTACTGACATGATGAAACAGGGAATTGAATAAGTGATTATAAAGGGTGCTTGAAGAGTAATTCAAAAATTCCAAATGCTGGCATCAACTGTTTGTATCAACGCTTCAATCATGTGTAAGGTAGTTTGAATAGAGTACTCGTAGTTCAAATGCACTGTACTGCCCTTAGTTATTATTATTATTATTTGGGTACATCGGAATACAAATACAACTTTCAAAGTGAGAGAGAAGAATTACATGGTGGTGGACGGAGTTGAACCCTTGACCTCTTCCTACTGAGATGTGCAATGGTTCTGTTTTTTTTATATTGGTTAGCTTCAATTTTATCTGTATATCAGAATACAAATACAATTTCCAAAATCGAACTCTTAACCTCGTACTGAGATGCAAGGGCTCTTACTGGACTAATCCTGTTGGTTAGTTTGAAGAGTACATCAATGAGATTTTTTTGTCTGTATAGTGGAATATAAATGCAGCAACCAAAGTCGGAATATAGATACAGCAACCAAAGTGGGAGAGAAGATATACTCGTAAGTGGGGTGTCAAACAACCGCCTTATAATGTACAAGGGTTACTGACTTAGATAGCGATATTCGAAGTTGATGAGCTTTTCACTGTTCCCCTAGTTCAGATGCTCAGTTTGTTATGTTGTGCTGCCAGTTTTAGGTCTCTTCTTCCCTATCCCCCTCTCTCCCTTTGTTGCCTTTTCTACACACGATTCTTAAGAGCATGTCAACAAGGCTTTCTTAATTATTCAAAATTTGTACTGCTGTGATATTTTAAGCTAGTTTCGACTGTTGCAGCCTTTGCATATTTTAAAGAATAATGGGGATTATGCTTGAATTTGACTTCTTGGCTTGAAGTTTTGATAGCTAACAAATATAAGGAAAATAAAGGTTCACCTACAAGTGGAAAAATTTTAACCCAACTTTATTGGGAACAGTATGCCTGAGTCTTTACTAGTGGTTAAGCGTAGGTCATGGTGGGCTGAACTCATCATCAGCTCCATTTTGCATACAAATTTTAACAAAATAATTTTGGGGCGTTAAATCCAATTTTAGGGAACTGAACACCTTATTCTTCATTTTCCCTTTTCCTGTACATGAAAAAGTGATCATCGTTTCTTTTTTCATAAGGAAAAGACCCACTGGCTTGGCAGTCACTTTTGTAAGAGTTATGTGTAAATGTTCGTATCGAAGTTGCTTCGGCAATAACTTGACCTTATTATTTTGTATGAACATATTCATGCCAAATTGTTGCACATTCGAATCTGAAAATTGAACTGTCAAGGATCCCTTTGCCTAAAAAGGGCAGCCAATATACGGGACTTCTACCACTGTAGGGTCTAAAAAGTGTTGGATGTATGTATAGTCTTACCCTGCATGAAGAGAACTGTGTCTATAAGGATGACTCAACTCCGACTAAAATAGGTTCAAAGATGCCTTTGCCTCAACATCTTTAGAGGGGGTGGAGATGCATACAACATCAGTGAACATCACTGCTAGATCTAGGACACTGCTATATGCATAGGGTCCTACCAGGACATGAAAGCTTTAGGTTATATATATATACTTAAAATTGGCAATTATAAGCCTTATTAACATATCAGTAAACCAAATCACTACATTATCATAGATCCTTCTTAAAATCACGTTTTCTACGTCATCATGCAAGCTACATCATCATAGTAATTTAAGAGCAGAGATAGCCATTCCAGAATCCAAAATCATTTTAAGAGCTGAACTGGGCTGCTCCGGTGAGGTAGCGGTAACTGAAGAAGCCAGCGGCAACTATCAGAGGCACGAAGAACTCGAGAAAAGCCGCATACTTGGGCACCAGATCGTCCTTGATCACGAAAGCTTTCATTTCTTTGGGCCTGGATTCCTTGTTAGAAGCAATCTCAACATTGGAGTCATTGCCTTCTTGAATGTTGTAGCCCTGGAGGTACCCTACCTGATACTTGAGGATCAAGTTCTTAGCAGCCTTGCTGTGTCCTATATCCTCAAAGTCCTTTGTTGCATCTTTTCCGGCTGATTCGATCAAAACCTCCTCTCCTCCTGGGTGTTCTTCCAGAAACTTCGTCACGTCCAATACCTGCATTAACATTCACTCAAATTTAAACCAAAAAACTACCCCATTAAAGTGTTTGTAGTTATGATGTTTTAAGTGTATTCATATATAAATGTGTATCATAGAGAAACAGAAGTGTTGGCAAGTGAGGATTACTCTGCCATTGATGATGAACCAGCAATCCTCCTTGGATTTGTGTTCAGCAACTTGTGGAATTGTGAAAACTCTTTTTTTGTCCATTTTGTTTAGGGGAGAGAGAGAGAGAGAGAGAACTGATTGGGTATGAATAAAACAATAGACATATATGTAGAAGCAGGTTTGGTAAGTGAATAGGTGTACACGGATTGGATTGGACCGATTTTTGGACCGATTTTAGAGTAAATGAGGAATTGAACCATTTTTTACGGTTCCATCAAATTGAAACCGTTACTGAACGGTCAACATGTAGAATCAAACCAAAATCGAACCATAGAAACCGATTTAGTTCAATTCGGTTCATAGTTATAGGAATTTTATATAACAATAAATGTGATATATATTTTATGTTATTAAGCAAATTAATAAGAATTAGTTTGGTTAAGTTGATTAGAATATATCAATTTTACGATTATGACTAGTGATCAAATCTTATAAGAAATATTTTATATTTTAATATAGTTTTCATATAAAAATATAAAAAATAATAAATAAATATGTCTCGATCTGATCTGGTCTGATTCTGTTCGAAATCGTAATCAAAGCTTTAGAGCCGAAAACCAGACTAATTTAAACAATTTTCAAATCAAATTAGTTGGATTTATGGGTTCTACTAATTTGTGTTTTTGAACACCCACCCCTGTCATTGACCGTTTGCTTGGAGAGGAGAGGTGGTAGCTATCACGTGCCATGCCACGCGTCACCCACCCCAGTAGTTTGTTTGGATTAGGAGGAGAGGTAGATTTGACGAATGGTTTGTTGCTCGCACATGCCACATTCTCTCTTTGATTTAAATGCAAATATAAATAATAAAAGGATAAATTACAGATATATATATATATATATATATAAAATACAAATTGCTCCTGTGATTATGGAAACTACTTCTCATCCCTTGAAATTTCTAATTTCATAACAAATAATCAAGTCAATTAATAATTTTTAATGATATAAGAAATTAATTTCAATTAATAATTTATGTAATTTTCTTATTGTAGATGTAATAACCTCGACCCATGATTAACTGATAAACCATGATTAAGGATGCCAAATAAGTAATTAAGGTGGAATTTTGCATTAATTGCATATGTGATATGCCATATGAGATTCTATCTGTTTTGCGTAGACATATATGTTTGTGTTTCTGCTATGTACTACGAATTGAAGGCCTTATCGACATCCAATTACGAAATTAACTTGATTAATGTATTAGTTAGAATTTTTAGAATTTTATAGTGGGTTTAATCGAAATTCGATTAGGAACGAAATAATTAAAATAATTGAAGCTCATTTGTTTAATGGTAAGTTTAATTAATTGAGTTTCTTAATCAAGCCTATAAAAGGCTTATACACCACTTGAATCACCTTTCCTTTATCATTTTTGAGCTCAACATAACGTGAGAGAGAGAGAGAGAGCTAGAGATTGAGATAAATGAGGAAGAGTAAGAAGTTCGCTTGGATTTAGCTAGAAATTGAGGAATTGACTTGGAGGCTCAAAGACATAGCAATTTAGAACTCAATTAAGGATCTTAGGTGTGTAATTGATTCATAATCTTTGTATTCAAGACATAAGTGATTGAACTTAAGAGGGATAAGTTTGAGAATTAAGCTTAAGTAGATGAATTTCATGCATGCAAGCATATATCATAGTATTTTGAGTTTGAATTTCAAACAAATCCCACATACATGTGTCTATCTTGACTTTGTTTTGAGAATTCATCACATTTCTTATCATTTGACCTTAATTGATCATATTTTGAAAAGTTTAAGCTCATAACAATTCATGCATGTTATGTTCATATCACATTCTTAAGTTTCAAGTTGAATTTTTGGGCAATTAGTAAGCTTTTGGGCCTTGATTTTGTGAAATGATTTTAAATTCGTCATGTTATATTAGTTTATAAGTGCTTCCTCAAGTTTTTGGCCCCAAAGACCATAATTTGCAGCTTTGAATTTGAGTTTTGAACTTGGAAGAGCAATCTGGCAATTCCAGAATTTGCATTCTTCGCTTGAGCGGATAATGCAAGCTCCAAGTACTTTTGCAAAGTTTGACTGTTGTCTCGAGCGGCAGAACCTGTGCTCAAGTGACAACCCTTATTTTTGAGCCTCCGCTCGAGCACAGGAAGTTGTGCTCGAGCGTAAAATGACAGCTCCCAGAAGTTTTACAGAGTTTGCAGATTGCTTGAGCGTAGGAAGTTGCGCTTGAGCGGAGACCCTGTTTACTCAGTCTTTGGCTCGAGTGACTGGCGAGCCTCTGTCGAGCAGAAAATTCATGCAACTAGCACTTTTGCAGACTTTGCAAACCGCTCAAGTGACCAATGTTGCGCTTGAGCGGACTGACCAATTTTTGAAAATTTGACTAAGTGTTTTAAATTGCATTTAGGTATCGTCATTGCATTTTAGGCATTCCTAAGCCTTAATTATGACATAATAATGAGGATAAGGAATAGAAACACACCAAGATAGAAAAAAAATGAGTTAAGTGTTTTTCGAGCGTGTGTTCCAATGTGTATCCGTTATGTGTTTGTATAGGTCAGGCGCCATAAATGCACATCAAGGCTGGGGTCACGTGCCCCCTCCGCACCTGCACCGCACTCGACTCAGTTTTGAATTTTATTTTTATTTTTTTTAACAAAAAATTTGTCTGTACAAGTGAAAAATTTCCCACTGCTACAAATCAATTCAATTTAGTTCACGTGATGTCGTACAATATTGAAATGCACATGGATCCAGAAACTAAAATGCCTATTTGGCAGAAATAATTTAGTAGGTCTGTCTATATTATATTATGAAATTACATTTCAAAGAAATAGTTGACAAAATAAAATTTTATCTGTAATGTAATTATTTTATGATTGTTTTTATTTATTTATAATTTTTTTCATATCTTATTAGTTTGTTTTTCTAAAGTCTGTTAGGCCATATAATTAGTTTGTTTATATATATATATATTTTAGACAATAATTATGTGTCTATTATAAGATTGGCATACAACCAAAAGTTAGGTCAGAGCTAGTAAATAACTTTTTGCTTATCTTCACTTGTAAAGTTAAAGTCATGTGATTTTATTTTGATAATTTAATTTATTTATTTTTACATCTTACATGTAAAGTATTCATAAAAAAATATAATTGATCTAATAATTGTAACTACATGATTTTATCATATTTATCTTCAACAAATAACATCTATTTACAAAATCGTACTTCTCTAATTTAATAATAATAATAATAAAAAAAAAGATAAAATCACATGATTAAAATTATAGGACCAAATTTTTATTTTATTTAACGTCGTGGTCTTTACATGTCCATACTGCACGACCCTGCTCCTTTTATACGATTGGAGGCAAGTTCAACCCATCAGAAAAGGGTGATTATATTTACACCATTGTTTACCTCATTTACGCTCACTTTCAAAATATATCCCCATAAAAATTTTAATCAGTTTAGTTTCAATTTTCTGAATTCAATTTTTTTAAAATTAAAATTTTTATTTTTTGTTTTTTTTTATTTTTAGTGAATATTTTTAAAATTTTAAGTAATTTTTTTATTTTTTTAGATGCATTTTATTTAGATATATCTAAATAATAAAATATTTATGAAAAAAATATTTTAAAAAATTAATAAATATACAAAAATATGAAAAATGTACTAAATTTTCATATTTTTTGGTATTTAGTATATTTTTTTAAAAAAAATTTCACAAATATTATACTTTCTAAGTGTGTTTATATTAGGTGTGCCTAAATTTTTTTTTAAAAAAAAATTGCTTAAAATATTAAAAAAATTCATTGAAAACATTAAAATATGAAAAATAAAAAAGTAAAATTTTCTGAAAACTGTTTTTTAAAAATTGAAACCAAACAAGCTGAATAGTATTTTTTTACACCCTCATAATACCAAATATATCCTTATCTCTAATCTTACATTCTCTCCTTATACCCCATTCTCTTCCTCTCTTGTTGCATTCCTCTTTCTATCTCCTTTCCATCATTATAGAGGAGGATGGCAACGGAGTAGGAAATGAAGAGCGTTGGGATGGTATTTACTTGGAAGATCCTTTCATAGGAACCCTTTTTATTTTTATTTATTTTTTTGGGTTAGAGCTTTGTTTGGCCTTTTGTTCGGCCAACCAAAGTTAAACAAATACAGACCAAAATTAGCAAAATTAGTCGCGTTCAACCTTAATTATCTGAGCAAGCTAAGATGTTTGATAACAAAGTCAAATGGAGTTTTGATTCCATTTTTTTCAACAACAATGATTCATCCCCCATTTTTTTCCCATCCCCTTTGACCCCCTCTCTCTCTCATTGGTTACATTTTCTTTTTCTTTTTCTTTTTTTTCCTGCTCCTCCAATCATCACCCGCCACGTGGCAAAGGGGGGGGGTGAGGGGGTGACCCCTAAAAGGGGATCCCAAACATTATTCTTTTTTCAAATAGAACGGGACTACATGAAAATAATAAAAAATTTCTAAACATCAAAATTTTATATAAAATCTATTTACTTATCATATATGTCTTCACTGTCCCCCTTTTTTTCCCATCCCCTTTGACCCCCTCTCTCTCATTGGTTACATTTTCTTTTTCTTTTTCTTTTTTTTCCTGCTCCTCCAATCATCACCCGCCACGTGGCAAAGGGGGGTGAGGGGGTGACCCCCAAAAGGGGATCCCAAGCATTATTTTTTTTTCAAATAGAACGGGACTACATGAAAATAATAAAAAATTTCTAAACATCAAAATTTTATATAAAATCTATTTACTTATCATATATGTCTTCACTGTGATTTTCCTAAATTTTTTTAGTTAATTTTTTCTTTTATGTTCCTATGGTGGAGGTATTAGGAGTTGCATAGGGGTGGAGCGAGTGAGAGAAGGGAGAGAGGGTGGTGGCAGCGAATGGTGAAGGAGTATGGTGGTGGTTGAAAGGGGGAATAAATGGGATGGGTGTAAAAGGAATTCTATTAACAATTTTTTAATATTTTTTGTCCAAGAAAATTTTAGGAAGGGATAATATTGTAATAAAAAAAAATATTTATAAAATTGGGTGTAATGAGCTAGCTAAAATATAGTATAGATAGTCACCCATCAAAAAATTTCTGAAAGAAGAAAATCAGGAAACTACCATTTTTCTCCAACTGCACTTGGGTGATGAGGAGATAGACAATTTAAAACTAAAAACTGGCTAGTCTCGTTACTTCAACAGGATCTGAGAGTTTAGCATACCACCCTTTCAATTCCAATTCAAGTACAAAAAGCTTCCAAAATGCCACTAACCTTTTCCAAACCACGCGTCTAAATGCTGCACAGTGACTTCTTTCTCCATGCTTACGACAGGAATTGAGTCATTGCATCGACATATTACATTATTGGTTTCTTGATGAATTGGTGGACTCCTTACCATCAGTTTGACCCTCATTGTTAAAATCAATTCCTTGAAATGTGACCCTAGATGACCGATACTGACTACCAAAAGCTGTCCCAAATCCCCATCCAATGCCGAGTCCAACTCCACAGCCTCCACCTTAAAAAATAAGTACTCTGATGAGTTATTCAGTACATAATTAAAACAATGATAAGAGAAATTACTCATATAAGTGCAAAATTGCTGAGTAAAACTAGTTCCAACTGTTTACCTGCACCAAGACCCAAGAAATTTAAAGGCATGCCTGCATCAATTTAACAACATCAATAAGCAAATAAGCTGGCTGGCAATGATATTAGAACTTCAAGGTACCACTACAACGTGCACATCAGAACTGGCAAAGAAACCAAGACGGAAATCTCAGAAAATAATTGAAAGTTTAAACGAGGTCTATGAATCAAATGAGGTCTATAAGACTTGATAGAGAGTGCAACCTGTTTGACCTATTTCAGTACTAAAATAAGGTGTAAAAGCTTTTTTGTTATATTTATTGACTGGACCCAAGGATGTGCACAGAAAGTTGAACCCCCATCACAATCAATGATATTAGGACAGAAAATTTCAAATAACATATAAATCACTCCCAATCAAGGTTTTAAAAAGCGACTGCAACCGTTACGTAACGCCGTTATGTAACGATTGTGATGGTTACCGCCACCCGTTACGGTTGCTTTTGCAATGTGATTGAGATTCACTGGTGTATCGGCCGTAGCGGCCACTATAGCGGTCGTAATGGTGCCATAACGGCCTGTTTTGCACCTTTATGTAACGGTTCCGAATTGCTTCTTTTGAAAAAACACACAAAAAAAATAGTTGAAAATGGGAGAAGAGAGATAGAGAGAGAAGAGGGAAGATAAAGAGGGAAGATGGAGGAGCAAGAGATAGAGAGAAAGAAGAGGGAAGATGAAGAACATGTTATTGATTTGTTGAAGCTGTAAGACCTATACTATTCTATTCAGCTGCTATCACTCAACCATTTTGTTTCTGTGTGTCTATCTATATATTGTTTGAAAATAATAATAATAATAATAATAATAATAATTTTTAAAACCCAATAGATATGATCATGGAAAAAAATGTGCATATCAATAAGTTTTTTTCAAATTGTGCGAAAAATAAAAAAATTCACGGTTCCGATAACCGCAACCGTTACGCTACGGCCTTTACACCCCGCAACCGCAACCGTGCCACTGCCACTGTTACGACGACCGTAGCCGCTTTTCAGAACCTTGCTCCCAATATAACAAAAAACAAGAGGCACAATTATCATTCCAACCATTTGTTTCTCTTGATTTAATCTTGAAGTCATTCTCACCAATAATTTCCATGAAAGAGCATACAGGAGTGTTAGAGCTTTTCCAGGGTTAACAACTGCCCTTTCCTCTGTAGTAATCAAACAGCCAACCTTCATAGCAATGAGCCAAATAGGATGCTATTGAACATGCTTCCTTTCCAGTCCAGTTCTAACCAAATTTTAATGTCATTTCATACTTCCCTCAATCTAAAGAGTTGTTCTATGCATTTACCATCTGAAGCTCAAATTCAGTGGGCTCTCACACAATAGACTTAAATTTATTTATTTATTCTTAATGATACATCGACAAGCACCACAAATATATTTTAAAAGTTCACAATGGTGCTCCCAGTCCATCATACTATTTACTAGAAGTGTGCTATATAGTAGTTCTTCTACAATGTTACCCTCATAGAAACTAGTGCATGAACAGCAATGAACAACCATTATGAGACTGTTGTAAGTTCCATTATTTGCAATCAGTTACATGGATCTGTTTTTTCCAGTTAGCTCTGTTCAAAACCATATCCTGAGTAAAATTCAACACAACCAAGTCCTTTTTTCCCTCTTTGATCAATGTCTTTCTTGTTCCCCCTGGTCCTTTTAGCACCTTCAATCGAGATCAAATTACTCTTTCTCATCAATGCATAGGTTGATCTATGTTGCATGTGATGGAACTATCTCAAATGACCTTCCCTCATCTTATCTATAATTAGTGCCATTTCTAACTTCCACGAATGCATTCATTTTTTGTTCTATCTTTTATAACACTATTCATCCATCTTAATATCCTTATTTTAGCCACCCATTTTCTAAGCATGCTATATTTTTTTCTTAGATTTGTGCACCACATTCTCCTCAAACCCCAATACCTTATATACAAAATTGATTATAAATGGTCCTTCTTAGTCAAAAAACTTGAATTGGATAGGAGTCATGGAGTTTTCTCTATGATTTCTTTAGAATATTGTTGAGAAAAAAGAATAAAACAGAATATTAATTAGGATCCTAGATTAGTCACTTGAACCAATCAAGAAATGCCAATGATAGAATTCCTTTCAAGAGCAAAATCTAGGCAAACTTCCACCTATGGGTATGAGACAAATAGATGCCCAACTAAGACTATTAGCTAATGCTTTGGAAAGACTTCTAATGTTCTCTGATTCTTCCCAGAGCCTAATTGAAAGCATTAACTAGGTTTTTTCCGACTAAGAAATAGGCACCCTTGGTGTTTCTAAATTTTAGTTGACGTAGAAGAGCTGTTACTTTGATTTAGCTTCAATCATATTCTCCAATTGGCGCCAATCCCACACCTACAACATTAACTTCATGACTACATGGTAAACCTTTGACATTCCAATGATTCAATTTTCCTCTTTTCGAAAGAGCTAAAGTCAAGCTTCACCTTATTTTTCATTTGGGGATCCGAAACAAAGAGACGGAGCTAGATACGGGAGAATTCCAGAAAATCCTTTGCACAACTGGAGTTAGTAATCCTTGCTTCTCTTAAAAGAAGAGATGAGACACCATAGCATACATCTACCAATAACTTTAATAATATAATTTTCTTATTTTCAGAGATAGGAATCAAAAATACCCAAACTGGTGGCATTGTAACAGAAGCCCCCATATATTAAAACACCAAGCTTTCAATATTGCAAAAAAAAAAAAAAAAAAAAGAAAAAAAAAAGGGAAACCAATATACCTAGTAAATCCTAAACACACATTTTGACATTGAGCAGTCATTCATGTCCCAAATTTTGGAAAAAGGTCAAGCATAAGATCCAAAAAAGGGATTTATAAGTTTTGGAATTATGTAAGTGAAAAAGCACATACCCTAATCAAGAGTGGAATTTCAATTGTAACATGAGATTTTTATAAGCATCGTGTGATAACTCAAGCAACCAAAAAATCATATCATGATCATCATTCTCATTCTCATTCTCATTTCTTGCAACTGTAACCCATTGAGAAAACATTCAATATTTGGACCACACAACTTTCTTTCCAGCAGCATAAGTATAAAATTTAAGGCAAATGCCATATTGCACTGAATCTGAATCCAATATAAAATCAGGAAAATGCATATATCTTCTTTCCAAGAATCTTGTCAATATACTTAAATAAACTGCATTCCATTGGATATGTGCTTAATTCCTACGATCACCAAGTGACAAAAAAAACATAAAAATGAAACCCTAAATGAAATGTATGAAAATTTAAAGAAATTCAAATTGAAAATGAAATATACACCAGGGAGAGAGAGAGAGAGAGCTTATGATACACATACATACCTCCGAAGCCCCAGCCGACGCCGAAACCGCAACCAATTCCGAAACCTTGGTACAGTCCGCAAAGAATGTGTAGAATCAATAATACAGATATATATGTATATATATAACTTTGTAAATAAATAAAGCGTAAATATGGTTGGTTATGCGTACCAAATCCAACCCCTGTCCCATTGAAATTTGTAAGCACCATTGCTTTGTAGCTATGAGCAAGTTCCTATCATACACATATATACATAAATACAATTGGATTATCGTTATATATATATATGTATGTATGAATGTAAGTGACTGTTCGTCGAAGAAAGAGATTGGGAATGAAAGGAGCGTTGTCTCAGACTTACAGAGAGGTAGAGAGAGAATCAGAAATCTTCCGAAATTGCAAGCAGAGAGGGGCTTCGGATAAATCCCCAGACTTCTGAAAGAAAGTGGAACTAATTGGGGAATTTGGTACTCCTCTGAAATTCAACACTAGCCCTTCGGTTTAACTGAATTACCGAAACACCACTTCAATTCTTTTATGTTTAGATTGAGTGATTTAGGCAAAAAAAGAAAAAAAAATGGAAAGTACGTATTTGTTTTATTTGTTTAGGTAATTTAAGTAGAGAGAAATGGAGAGAAACCTATTTTTCTTAGGAGTCTGGATTCTTTGTTGTGTTTTCCTCCGACGTTTCCTACCATGATCTAAAACGACGTCGTTTTGGGTTTTTTTTTTCATTGAGAGTTGAGTTGAGAACCTAACCCACACATCACAACAACGGCGATGAAGCGAGGCCATAGAGAATAAAAAAAAAATCCTTTGACAGTAAGAAAAAGACCATTGAAGCTGTTGAGTGATGATTTGCTTGTTGGGTTTCCCTGTTTTCTTCTCTCTAAGCTCTCAAACGTCTCTAAATTTTGGTTTATTTGTGTGAATTTTGAAGCTTCGTTCTTCCTTTTTCAAAACATTGCTTCAATCATCAATTGCTCCAGTTCTAGCGCAGCTTGATCGCCACCGCGAGACACAACGACAAACCAATCTGAAAAATGGGGTCGATGCAAGCGGAGATCAGATATCGGAGATTTGACGTGGCAGAGATCTGAAGCGGCTGTGGATTAGACGGTCCCTATCACATCCCAAACCCAGCGGTGGTCCATAGGGTCTTAACCCAAGGCACACGTAAGCTTAAACACAAATCCATAATCACATTAAACAACTATACAATATTCCGATAATAAATAACCAAACTCAATCCAGTGACATGCCACAAGTATAAATGACAAAACCAACCGTAATCAATACCATCCAAACTTATGGGATATAAACAGCTCACGTATCAAAATAATCCTAAATGAACCCCAATAAAAATAAAAAGATATATGCACAAACTTGACATAACAATCTAAAACAAAATAAATGAATGTCCTAGAGGTCCATGCAATTGAATCCCCACTACGCCATGAGTCCACTCTAAGTCCTTCTAATACCTAGAAATGATAAATTACTAAGTCAGCTGATAGCTCAGTGAGTAGCAACATAGATAGTAAATATAGTTTTGAAAACAGGGTTCAATTCTAAAATAAGATATATATCACAGAAACTAGATTGACATACAGTTTGGTAAAGACAATCTGTTTCAAAAAAATGTTCCACAGTTCAACAGTTAAAATATTCATATCTCTCAAGAACATGATAAATGGCATTTTTCACTTAAAACAGATTACAACATGAACACCAATAATTTTATGGATACCAAGAAATTACAAGTAACATGCTACACAGTTCTCAAGGCTATAAGCCCCATTGGATCCAATACTGAACTAAGAGTCATCCTCACGGTGGCAATTCGGGCCTTTTCTCTAAGACGATCCGATTGAAGGTCACCTAGCTTAATCTAGGTTTTTTCCTTACAATCGTTGAGCACTAGAGTCATCACGACCCAACTTGGATCTCTTCCCTAGTGGCCAGAGCCACCACACACAGTGGAATAATTTTCCTGAACTAAAATATACAGATGGTCCTAATAATCAATATACTTTAGTTTCACAAAACATAATAGTTCACCATTATAACACATGATACCAAAACAAATAGTTTACAGTATGTCAAGTTCACACATGTTTCAGAAATAATTTGATTCCATTGATAATATAATAATTTATCAAAACAGTTTAGTCCTGAAACAACAATTAAATTTTCCAACAGTTCAGGGTAGGGGAACATTTATAAAAATATGTAGCATGAAACTACTCACCTGGAAACGGAGTAATGTAATCCTCGAATAGAGTATAAAAGTCCAACTAGTGTCCTAAACCAAGTATGAAAACTATACGTCACTACTAATTTAAAAATACTAAAGAATAGGAACTAAGTAACCTCAAACTAAAGCACCTTAACACAGTTCAACCCAACTCACCCTTTCTTTTAAATATTATCTAAGCTCATGTTCTTCGAGGTCTAAAATTACCCAAGACATGGGTTTAGATCGAAACTTAATTAAAAGTAACTTTAAGATAAAACAGAGTTTTAAACAAGCTTTCCAATCTATTCGCTAACGTTGGAAATTACAAAACCCACTCTACGCTGTTCGAAAAATTCCAAAACCCTCTAGATATCCACTAATATATCATAAGTTTCATACCCAATTGGTTTTACTTAATTTGCTTATCAAAATAATTATTTACAATTAATTATGCCCAAATAGGTTGTTTTCTGCAGCACTTTAAAGAAATTAATGGTTCTCTTAGTATACACAAGCAATCAACGCAAGGCCAAAAAATTAAGAAATTAGACTCGTAACTGGTTCTAATGACGTTGATTTGGTAATTTTCAGATTTATATCCAAAGAGAATGACACTTTCGAAGTTACTGTTTTAAATCAGTTTTCTGGACAGATTTGAACACACCAGTTAATATAGATTTTGACTCCCAAAAATTATGAAAAAATTTAGATATGCAATTCAATATGTAATTAATCTACTGTAAAAATTTCAGTTCAAAATGCATTCGTTTGATATGGTTTCTTGATTTTTAAAGTTTGTGGTTCTGTACAGAATTTTTGAATTAAAAATTACACCAATTATTTCTCATCACCAATCACTAACTTGGCACCCAAACAACATACCCGTTTTTTCTATTCCTTCCCAACAACAAGCAGATTACACATATGAACCATCACAATAAATAGATATAATAAAATAGGACAATACCTTAGAGTTGTTGACCACCAATGTTGCCAAAAGTTTCTCTCAAATCTCTCTTTACTCTCTCTCTCTCTCTCTCTCTCATGGTTGCTGTGATGAACAAATAAGAAGGTAGGATTTTGTGTATATTTTATTTAATACTAGTGGTTGGGTACACCCAAAGCATGTGTAGGTCAAATAAATAAATAATATACAAAAAATATATATAAGTTACATGCAACTCAAATGGTAAGAGCCTTATTTATTAATTTTGTGGTTTAGAGTTCAAGTTACACCCTGTTCTCCATTTAAAAAATAAAAATAAATCTTACCTCTAAATTAAACACTTTCACCATAAATTTATTTTATGTTTAAAATTAATTAAAAGATTGTTTAGTAATATTTGATTTGCACCTTAAGATTTACAAGTAAAATATTTGAGGTTTGTAAAATTATTATTATTTAATTATTTACTTTTTTTATTATATTTGGGTTCTCATAGTCCCCATTTACTCCATTGTTCTATTCTCTTGTTCTTCTCAAGATCCTATATATATGGACTCTGTTGAATCTTCTATCTCCATTTGGGACAACAGAGCTCTTCACTGAATCTATGATCCTATATATATACATATGTATATATATGTGTGTGTATATATATAGATGTTTGGGCTTGAAGTGTTTGTTTGTTTTGTTTTGTTTTGTGAGAAAAGTGAAAGGGAAATGAGTTAAAGCTTTTACACTAGTCAAAATCATAACAGTCTTTTCAAATAAGAGAAGAAAACAAGAAAGAATGACCAAAAAAAAAAAAACCCAAAATGACATCGTTTTAGAACCACCACAGGGAGCATTCCATGATAGTGCTTTTATTTGTTTGCCCCCCTTCTGTATCCAGCTCCATTTCGTAGCTTGAAATATCGAGGCTCGAAAGGCCCGACTTCTTTGTACACTCACCTCATTTCTTTGTACAGGTCATCCCTGTTACAAACAGAACTCAGCATATTTCATTTGAAATAAAATAAAAAGAAAAAAGAAAAAAGAACAGAGTAGAGAGAGTGAGAGAGATGAGACCTATTAGCACCGACGAGGTTGTGTGTGCGAAAGGGTGCTGCCGACAAGAAATAAATCTTACCTCTAAATTAAACACTTTCACCATAAATTTATTTTATGTTTAAAATTAATTAAAAGATTGTTTAGTAATATTTGATTTGTACTTTAAGATTTACAAGTAAAATATTTGAGGTTTGTAAAATTATTATTATTTAATTATTTACTTTATTTTTTATATTTGGGTTCTCACAGTCCCCATTTACTCCATTGTTCTATTCTCTTGTTCTTCTCAAGATCGTATATATATGGACTTTGTTGAATCTTCTATCTCCATTTGGGACAACAGAGCTCTTCACTGAATCTATGATCCTATATATATATACATATGTATATATACGTGTGTGTATATATATAGATGTTTGGGTTTGAAGTGTTTGTTTGTTTTGTTTTGTTTTGTGAGAAAAGTGAAAGGGAAATGAGTTATGTTCAGACTTTTGGCCTTGTTTGGCAAGTAGTTGTTTTAGTGTAAAAGTCAAAAAGTTACTAAAAAAATCAAAAAGCCTATAACATGTATAAAAAAGTCAAAGATTCCATTTTCTCTCTAATTTTGCATATTTTTTCGTAAAAAGCCAAAAAGTCACTGCAGATATACTAGTTTTTTTTTATCTCATATTTTAGCCAAAAAAGTCAAAAAGTTACTAAAATAGCTTGTTTCCAAACGAGGCCGTCAAAATCATAACAACCTTTTCAAATGAGAGAAGAAAACAAGGAAAAAAAAAAAAAAAAACCCCACCAAAACAATGTCGTTTTCGACCATAGCAGCGAAAGCCGCAGGATAACACAGCAGAGGATCCAGACTCTTTTCTTATAACCCTCATTGTCAATCTTCCCAAAAGTGAAGAGATTTTGAGAGAAAAGAAATCAACAGATTCTTATATTGTCATAATACTAATTTTGTCCTTGTAAAAAAAAAAAAAATAAAATGATTGACACCCATGTCCTCAAGAACTTTTCATATTCAGCACAAGGGCTTTTGCAAATATTACATAAAATAGTTTATTTTCTTTTTTCTTATAAAATCTAGCCAAAAAAGAATGAGAGAAATTACAATCATTTCTTTTCTTTTCTCTTATAATTTAAGCAATCATTTCTTTTATTTTCTTTTCTAGGTTCTTAAACAGAGTGTTAATTTTTTTTTCTTTCCTTTTTTTTTTCTACCAAGGGTGGT